ATGGCCAGGGTCAACGGCGGCACCACGTGGTGTATTCCACAAATATGCCTGACTGTGAGGGCGGGCACAAACCGGCGTGAGTAGGTTAAACGTTGAGTTTTATAAGGGCACCACGGGGTGACCAGCCCCTCCCCACCCAGCCCCACCCCTCCCAGCCCCACCCTCCCCTCCCCACCCAGCCCCTCCCCACCCTCCCCTCCCCTCCCCACCCAGCCCCTCCCCTCCCCACCCAGCCCCTCCCCACCCTCCCCTCTCCACCCAGCCCCACCCCTCCCATTTTTGGATGCACGACGGACAGACGGACACAATAATCCCCTGTGGGCTGGTGGTGTAACCAGGAGGTTCCTACCGGTATTATTCATCATTCTCTTTCTAATGGACTGTGAACGATTTATGTGGGACAGGAGGCTCATGGATCTATGTTTGAAGTCAGTTGTCTCCCTCTTTGAAAATTACTATTGAGGCATCACGACTTTATTTGTAACATTTTGTAACTGTCTCCTCATTTTTATCCAACAACAGGTCCCACTTTTTTGTTTGTTAACACTTGACACTGATCCAGGAGCTTTCCCCTTTTCCGTGGTGCCAACGACAGAATTTACTACAAATATGACCTCTTGCTCTCGGCAAAATTATCCACAGGGACATTAGAACGTGCTTTAAAAAAAGGAAATGGACTTGAGAAATTAACACATAAACCATAATTGATGAAAAGCGACACCTCGCATTTGCTCATTACCAATGATAATGACATAGGCTGTAGGGGATGATTACATCACTTTAGAAGCTGCAAAGTTGGGCTAATGATAATTACGAGTAAAACAAGTCACGTACACGTTTGAGAGAGGAAAATAAAGATTTATTGGAGGCGAAAAATTCAAAAACACACCCGATATCCAATTATCTTAAAGAAGCCAGATATTAAACTGATGCAATTCAAGAGCCGAGAGCATGTTGGAGCACTTTCGGAAAATAATTGGATAATGAAAAGCAGCGTACCGATGTGCCGACTAAAATAACGACGTATATAATACTATGTAACACAATTTTTGTACCTGGGTACAAAGTGTTATTTTTTTAAATGTTCTTTTTTATTGCTTATGCCTAAAAAGTATAGAAAATGGCTATTATTCCCCAAAAAATTTGCGTTTCTGACCAGGACTTTATGTGAACGAAAGACACAAATGCACACGTTTTATCATTGAAAATAGGTAAATTTAAAAATATCACTGTCCTGGTCACAAAAGCAAAGTTTGTGGGGAATAACAGCCATTTTCTGTACTTTTCAGGCATAAGCTATTGGGAAATAACACACTACCCAGGGACAATTTTTTGTTACACAGTGTAATCAGTGTACAGTATGATGATACCCGCTATGACATATGGCCCGGCAACTTAAAGTGAGTGGTAGTGAGAGTGGTGAGTAGTTGTTGAGAGTGGTGAGTAGTTGCTGAGAGTGGTGAGTAGTTGTTGACAGTGGTGAGTAGTTGCTGAGAGTGGTGAGTAGTTGTTGACGAGTGGTGAGTAGTTGTTGAGAGTGGTGAGTAGTTGTTGAGAGTGGTGAGTAGTTGTTGAGAGTGGTGAGTAGTTGCTGAGAGTGGTGAGTAGTTGTTGAGAGTGGTGAGTAGTTGCTGAGAGTGGTGAGTAGTTGCTGAGAGTGGTGAGTAGTTGTTGAGAGTGGTGAGCAGTTGCTGAGAGTGGTGAGTAGTTGCTGAGAGTGGTGAGTAGTTGTTGAGAGTGGTGAGTAGTTGTTGAGAGTGGTGAGTAGTTGTTGACGAGTGGTGAGTAGTTGCTGAGAGTGGTGAGTAGTTGTTGACAGTGGTGAGTAGTTGTTGAGAGTGGTGAGTAGTTGTTGAGAGTGGTGAGTAGTTGCTGAGAGTGGTGAGTAGTAGTTGAGAGTGGTGAGTAGTTGCTGAGAGTGGTGAGTAGTTGTTGAGAGTGGTGAGTAGTTGCTGAGAGTGGTGAGTAGTTGTTGACAGTGGTGAGTTGTTGTTGAGAGTGGTGAGTTGTTGTTGAGAGTGGTGAGTAGTTGTTGAGAGTGGTGAGTAGTTGCTGAGAGTGGTGAGTAGTTGTTGAGAGTGGTGAGTAGTTGCTGAGAGTGGTGAGTTGCTGTTGAGAGTGGTGAGTTGTTGAGAGTGGTGAGTAGTTGCTGAGAGTGGTGAGTAGTTGTTGAGAGTGGTGAGTAGTTGCTGAGAGTGGTGAGCAGTTGTTGAGAGTGGTGAGTAGTTGTTAAGAGTGGTGAGTAGTTGTTGAGAGTGGTGAGTAGTTGCTGAGAGTGGTGAGTAGTTGCTGAGAGTGGTGAGTAGTTGTTGACAGTGGTGAGTAGTTGTTAAGAGTGGTGAGTAGTTGCTGAGAGTGGTGAGTAGTTGTTGAGAGTGGTGAGTAGTTGCTGAGAGTGGTGAGTAGTTGAGAGTGGTGAGTAGTTGAGAGTGGTGAGTAGTAGTTGAGAGTGGTGAGTAGTTGCTGAGAGTGGTGAGTAGTTGAGAGTGGTGAGTAGTTGTTGAGAGTGGTGAGTAGTTGCTGAGAGTGGTGAGTAGTTGTTGAGAGTGGTGAGTAGTTGTTGAGGAGAGTGGTGAGTAGTTGTTGAGAGTGGTGAGTAGTTGCTGAGAGTGGTGAGTAGTTGAGAGTGGTGAGTAGTTGTTGAGAGTGGTGAGTAGTTGTTGAGAGTGGTGAGTAGTTGCTGAGAGTGGTGAGTAGTTGAGTGGTGAGTAGTTGAGAGTGGTGAGTAGTAGTTGAGAGTGGTGAGTAGTTGCTGAGAGTGGTGAGTAGTTGAGAGTGGTGAGTAGTTGTTGAGAGTGGTGAGTAGTTGCTGAGAGTGGTGAGTAGTAGTTGAGAGTGGTGAGTAGTTGCTGAGAGTGGTGAGTAGTTGTTGAGAGTGGTGAGTAGTTGCTGATAGTGGTGAGTAGTTGAGAGTGGTGAGTAGTTGTTGAGAGTGGTGAGTAGTTGCTGAGAGTGGTGAGTAGTTGTTGAGAGTGGTGAGTAGTTGTTGAGAGTGGTGAGTAGTTGTTGAGAGTGGTGAGTAGTTGCTGAGAGTGGTGAGTAGTTGTTGAGAGTGGTGAGTAGTTGTTGAGAGTGGTGAGTAGTTGCTGAGAGTGGTGAGTAGTTGAGAGTGGTGAGTAGTTGCTGAGAGTGGTGAGTAGTTGTTGACAGTGGTGAGTAGTTGCTGAGAGCCGTGAGTAGTTGCTGAGAGTGGTGAGTAGTTGCTGAGAGTGGTGAGTAGTTGTTGAGAGTGGTGAGTAGTTGGTTAAGGTGGTGCGTAGTTGAGGAGTGGTGAGTAGTTGCTGAGAGTGGTGAGTAGTTGTTGAGAGTGGTGAGTAGTTGCTGAGAGTGGTGAGTAGTTGAGAGTGGTGAGTAGTTGAGAGTGGTGAGTAGTAGTTGAGAGTGGTGAGTAGTTGCTGAGAGTGGTGAGTAGTTGAGAGTGGTGAGTAGTTGTTGAGAGTGGTGAGTAGTTGCTGAGAGTGGTGAGTAGTTGTTGAGAGTGGTGAGTAGTTGTTGAGGAGAGTGGTGAGTAGTTGTTGAGAGTGGTGAGTAGTTGCTGAGAGTGGTGAGTAGTTGAGAGTGGTGAGTAGTTGTTGAGAGTGGTGAGTAGTTGCTGAGAGTGGTGAGTAGTTGAGTGGTGAGTAGTTGAGAGTGGTGAGTAGTAGTTGAGAGTGGTGAGTAGTTGCTGAGAGTGGTGAGTAGTTGAGAGTGGTGAGTAGTTGTTGAGAGTGGTGAGTAGTTGCTGAGAGTGGTGAGCAGTAGTTGAGAGTGGTGAGTAGTTGCTGAGAGTGGTGAGTAGTTGTTGAGAGTGGTGAGTAGTTGCTGATAGTGGTGAGTAGTTGAGAGTGGTGAGTAGTTGTTGAGAGTGGTGAGTAGTTGCTGAGAGTGGTGAGTAGTTGTTGAGAGTGGTGAGTAGTTGTTGAGAGTGGTGAGTAGTTGTTGAGAGTGGTGAGTAGTTGCTGAGAGTGGTGAGTAGTTGTTGAGAGTGGTGAGTAGTTGTTGAGAGTGGTGAGTAGTTGCTGAGAGTGGTGAGTAGTTGAGAGTGGTGAGTAGTTGCTGAGAGTGGTGAGTAGTTGTTGACAGTGGTGAGTAGTTGCTGAGAGCCGTGAGTAGTTGCTGAGAGTGGTGAGTAGTTGCTGAGAGTGGTGAGTAGTTGTTGAGAGTGGTGAGTAGTTGGTTAAGGTGGTGCGTAGTTGAGGAGTGGTGAGTAGTTGCTGAGAGCCGTGAGTAGTTGCTGAGAGTGGTGAGTAGTTGTTGAGAGTGGTGAGTAGTTGCTGAGAGTGGTGAGTAGTTGTTGAGAGTGGTGAGTAGTTGTTGAGAGTGGTGAGTAGTTGTTGAGGAGTGTGGTGAGCGATCAGTAATTGTGGCAGCCGCGTGTCAACGAGGCCACGCTTTTGATTTTGCAATCCGACTGCTGCCCTGGGGGCGTCTAGAGCGGCGTCAGCGCAGTGCGCATGCGCGCGGGACGTGGCGAGGCCTGGGCAGAAGCGGAGCGGAGTGTGGACCGGGAACGAAGCCGAGAAACCCCGGGACGGAGACCAGAACAGAACCCGGAGACCAGAACAGAACACGACCAGGAGACCAGAACAGAACTCGGAGACCAGAACAGAACCCGGAGACCAGAACAGAACCCGGAGACCAGAACACGACCCGGAGACCAGAACACGACCCGGAGACCAGAACACGACCCGGAGACTAGAACAGAACCCGGAGACCAGAACACGACCCGGAGACCAGAACAGAACCCGGAGACCAGAACACGACCCGGGACGGAGACCAGAACAGAACCCGGAGACTAGAACACGACCCGGAGACCAGAACAGAACCCGGAGACCAGAACAGAACCCGGAGACCAGAACACGACCCGGAGACCAGAACACGACCCGGGACGGAGACGAGAACCCGGGACGGAGACGAGAACCCGGGACCGAGCAGAGACCAAAACCAGGGCCTGTGATTAGAACCAGACCCGAACTCGGAGTGTGGCCTAGGGGGACAGTCTTCGAGCGGAACCAGAAACTACGAACCGGAGCCCGACAACGCGGAACCAGAGCCCGAAGCCAGAGGCGACCGGAGATCGAGACCCGGAGCCCGGTCAAGGACCAGGAGCCAAAGGCGCAACCGGCACGGGGAAAGAGGGGGATCCCAGGTGAGCAGGAGACGGCATAGTCCCAACTGGAGTCCGGTAGCCAGTCCCCGAGGCCACTGCCTCGAGAAACGTGGGGAGCGGAGTACTCGGATAGAAGGCAAGAGGTGAAAAGGATTGCGGAGCGGATGAGCGGCGCTTTGTGATCAGGCGATGGTATAGGGGATCCGGGAGAGGGGATAGAGGACCTGTTAGACGGTAGAGGGGTTCAGGATAATAGAGAAGGGACCTGGATGAGGTATAAGGGGGGTTAGAGGGGACCCGGGAGAAGGGACCGGTGTCGTGGGTTCCCGGATGCTTGCTCGGGGTGGAACGTTCACAATTCACATCACAACTCACACCACAGCCACTGCTGCACTCCTCACTTAAACACGGTGATGATCTACTGACAACTTCAACCCGCTCTGCCTGGCGTGAGGAAGCGTGTTCACGCTGCCTTAAGACTAAACGTTAAATATACACATTCAAACGCTATTCATCAAACTCCAAACGGCACCGTCAACCCATCAGTACAAGGCGATATTTCGGATGAAAATTTAAGATAATTAACGGCTAAATTCCGACAAATTACATTGCATTACTTTTCTTGTCTACAAAAGCAAGTACAATTCACAATATATCTTCGTCTATAAAGCTTAACACGTCTCCTCTTATACATCCAACCACCAGAAGTGATTTCTCCCTGATCAAGCCAATATGGGCACCAACTCAATTGTGTTGGCGACCCAGAGGCGTTTGTGGAAATTTCACAAACCCTACTCCACAGAAAATCCACCCTTGTTTTCCTGCATCAAAATAAAATACAAAACCATGACACATCAAGCCACAAGCCCAGTGACAACAAAAACATGACTCATCACAGACCACGCACATCATCAGCTGTGGTCCCACCAATGTGATCACCAAACAAACAGTCGTTTACAGGCGGTGGCACCTCGGTGGTTTTGTGTGGTAAACTTTGCCAGAAGGTATCCCCACATACATTGAGAATGCTAATGTACGTTTCAGGTGACGTTCCAAGACTTTTCATTGCCCTCGACGGAGCTGAGCCACCGCCAACAGCGTCCCTTCACCAGCAACGCCATGACGTGTCGTGACAGAACGCAGGAGTTCATGGCCACCTGCAAGTCCATGCAAACGAGACAGGTACAGACCATCAGCCCCTAAGCCCTCACCCCTAACTCTAAACACTAACCTAGCCTCCTGCACTCACGTGACAACTTACTCAACTCGAAGAATCGGTGAAACATCTTTATTCAACCAACAGGAGTTATCCTTAAACCCGGGTTCTGAGATAACTCGGGTCAACCCTAGTCCAGTTGAGTTTGCACGAGTCGGCTGTCCATGGAAATGAGGTGTTAGTGTGTACATTGGGGGCTTTGGATCACTCATGATCAGTCATGTGTGTGAGGTGGATAGACCACAGAGCAAGTGTCGTTAGTGGGCACCTATTTTAGGTTGGCACACAATGCTAGCTGTGGCTAGAGTCGTGACTGCTCACTTGATACTCTTTGTCTCTCTTGTGCTGATCTTCACAAATTACGCCAGGTGTTTTAAGGCTGAGTTGACCTATACAATTAAAAGCGAGATCTCTGTGAGGTGGCTGGGTTTTCCACGGTTCTATCAAAAACACAAAGTTACTTAAAATATCACAGACATCAACAAAATATTAATTAGGTCACGTAACGCTCGTGTGAGACTGACTGGGCAGGCAAATGCAGTGGGTTTGTTTGGCCGTGAGATTATTGACCATTATTGATTGGTTAATTTTTGTTGCAGAACGGCATCCAGGTGAACAGGCCGCTGGCCAATGCTGTGCGGCAGAGAAGCGAGTTCACCCTAATGGCCAAGTGAGTGGCCCCAGCCCGGCACCCAGCGTTTCACATGCTCGTGCCGCTCGGTGTGTTACAGGAGTTTGGCACGGTTAAAACTCTCTCCGGGTTAAAACTCTTGTTTTAAAACGAGCTTCTATATCCTCTGTGTGTGCTGCGTGTGCAGGAGGATAGGCAAAGATCTGAGCAGTACATTTGCCAAACTGGAGAAGCTGACTTTGCGTAAGTAATTGTTGTTTAAATGTGTAGTGCCCTTCATCACAGCTCGTTGAGTGCTCCACGCTAGGTTACACACGTGTGCGCACATAATAATACAAGTCACTGTGTGTCGCATTGATTAACGTCCATTGCAACTCTTGCTCTTTTTCCGCAGTCGCGAAGAGGAGGTCCCTGTTTGATGACAAAGCAGTGGAGATCGAGGAGCTGACATACATCATCAAGCAGGTGAGAGGCCAGTTCGGCGCCCGCTCGCTGTGCGGTCAGTGCACGGGGCCTAAGACATATTGCCTGCACTCCGCGACAGGGGCTCGCCACCCACGAGGAGCGGAGCAGAGCTTGCTGCGGGGAGGCATGGGAGATAATATCCACCCACTCCATGTGGTTCCCGTGGTGCTTCTATGTGGTTTCCGTGTTTTCGAGTCCGAGTGCGATGATGAGTGGAGCATCAGGTGAGCTTAGTGTGTAATGGAAGTTGGGCAGGAGCAAGCCCGACTGGAGTCAACTCACCTGGATGGGGCAATTTTCACCTTTGTGTGCACAGCAGCGTTTCCTGAGCATTTTGTTATTCTCTGTGCGTTTTAGTTGAGTAAACAAAGGGCCATTGTTAGCTGCAGTGACCATGTGAAACAGTTGTTTGAATTTGTCCACTGTGATTCTGACTGCATTTCCTGTTTGTTTTTCATTGCTCACGGTTGTGTTGGCCTGTGCCCCCTCACAGGACATAAACAGTCTGAACAAGCAGATCGCACAGCTGCAGGAGTTTGTGCGCGCCAAGGGGACGCAGAATGGACGACATATGCAAACGCACTCCAGCACCGTCGTGGTGTCATTGCAGGTACTAACCCATACTAACGTTCCCTCTGAGGGATTGGCACATGCAGTCCCGCCTGTCCGCCTGGTCCCCTTGCCTTGAAGGAGGCCTGTCGTATTATTATTATAGCTTTAAACTCGAGCTGGTAAAAACTGTTGTCTATATTCGCAGATGTAGACATCAAGTCATAGACGTCATTGACTTGGGAAAAATAAGTGGACTTGTGTGGGACACGTGGTTAGGAGAAAGCTGATGGCTCGTGGTTGACAGTACCGATGGTGTGGTAACCAAAAGAGAGAACACATCCAAGAGCGTGTGATGTTGCTAGATTGATTGTTTTATCACATGACCCTGAGAGATGGCGATGGCTTGAGAAGGCCTTCATCCAGCAGTGAATAGATCATGACCGATGATTATTTGATTTTTCTTCCATTCACAGTCCAGGCTGGCGTCCATGTCGAATGAGTTCAAGAACGTGCTGGAAGTCAGGACAGAGGTGAGTGCGTTGTTGCACTCATTGTGATGCTTGAACTCCCAACCTGTTTCGCCGTAAAAAATTCCACCTGGTGACACGGTGCCGCTGGTCCTCCTCCCACAGAACCTCAAGCAGCAGCGGAGTCGACGGGAGCAGTTCTCTCAAACCACCATCTCCACGCTGCCCCCACCCATCGCTAATGGCCATGGTGAGACACTGCTCAAATACGTGCCTCCTGGGTCACCCAGTAGACCGAGGCCAGGCAGGCAGAACGTGGGTGAACATATTCACATGATGGTGATCAGGACTTGCTATGTGGGCTTTGTCATTGGAGCATTTACGATTGGCGTGATCGGTTGTTTTGTCCTGATAAATGTCTATCTATACGTGGACAACTTGCATGACGTCACTAAACGTCCTTGCCATCGTATTCCACGGAAGGGTAGTGTTTTAATGGTGAAAACCGGACACCCTGCATCACCGCGACCATCATTGTTTTGACTCGGATCGGTTTACTTGTTACCGTGTGCTTATTAACAAAATCCTAAAATAATTTGAGAAAGAAAATCTGGGCCCTTGAGGCTGGGTAGAGAGCAGCGATGCGGGCGTTGGTGGTGATCTCTGCTGCTGCGGTGCTGCGGTGCGCTCGTGGCAGCGGGGTCGGTGCTGATGCAGGACGGCGCGCGCGGTGCAGCTGGGGGGGGCGATGTGGCCATCAACATGGACGCGCGGCAGCAGCAGCAGCTGCAGCTGGTGGATGAGCAGGTATTTACTTTACTATTTTACACCCCTCTTTTTCAGAAGCAACCTGGCCACAAATGATAGTTCAACAAAGTGGATTATAATGTGGACATGTTTCGCAAATACTCTAAACGCATGTTTCCAAATGTGGAGGGAAAAATACACATGACCACTGGGAGAACATGCGAACTACAAATATACAGGCGTCAGGGTCGGGATGGGAGTGCACACCTTGCAGTGGAGAGCACGGGCAGGCCCCGAGCTAGTGGAGCGATGAGAATGTTGATCCTTGCAGTGGGACGTGTAATTGCATTGCGGGACACTTGACACGTACATTGTGTTTTGCGGGTTTTTTTGTGTGCAGGACTCCTACATCCAGAGCCGCGCGGATGCCATGCAGAACATCGAGTCGACTATTGTGGAGCTGGGCACCATCTTCCAACAGCTGGCACACATGGTTAAAGAGCAGGAGGAGCAGATACAGAGGTGCCACCCTTTCCACTCACATTTATGACTCCTCGTTCCAATTAGATAGCCAATGCATTGGGAGTGATGCGGGGTCACATGGCCTCATGTGTACATATATCTGCTCGTTTGTGTGAGTGTAAATTTCAGTAAGTGTGCTCTTGTGCTCTGTATGTGTGCGCGTACTTGTGTGTGGGGGTTTACGTGCATGTGGGTGTGCGTGCATGCGTGTGTTCCTATTCCTGTGTTTATGTATGTTGAACGTCTTTCGCACTGTACGTAGCCTACCGTGCTTTTTGGAGGTGTGGGTGTATAGTAGCACAGTGGTTGGCACACTGTACTACAAACCCCTACTGTCTGAATATGAATCCCAGCCACAGCTAACATCAGTGGAAGCGTTATATGAACTCTTGCTGGGTCTCGCCGGTGTCAGTAGTCGGAATGACTAGAAAAGGGAATTATGTCTACATCGTCTTTGCGTATGTGTCTGTGCACAGGATTGACTCCAACGTGGAGGACACACAGCTGAATGTTGAGGCCGCTCACTCCGAGATTCTCAAATACTTCCAGTCCGTCACCTCCAACCGCTGGCTCATGGTCAAGGTCTTCTTTATCCTCATCGTCTTCTTCATTATCTTCGTTGTCTTTCTGGCATAGGATGGGTCCCGGGAGGCACCCACCAGCTTCTTCTGGTTCCTTACGGCCTCACCGATCCCCCCAGCATTCGCGTTGCCACGCCATCTCCTCCTCTCCCCTGCGCCATGTTTTGTGCCCTTGGGTTTGTGGGAGTGAGCGACTGTCAAACATCTCTCCCTGTTGGAATGTAAACAAAGCCACAGCACGAGGGGTAGAGGCCACCCAACACCCCCCCACGTGGATGGTCTCTGTAGCTTCTGGGCCGTGTTGGCTTCTCTCCTGTGGGTGGAGTTATTATTCCCGGTGGTTCCACAGCCAGGATGCCTCGTTAAGCGATGAGCAAAGTATTCAGGCGTTGGGGAAGCATTGACGAGAAGAGTGGCCGTGCGGTGGCGCTCGGTGAAAGCACTTTGTACTCACGCCTGGATGAGTGTGTACAGTTCTGAGCAGAGCTTGGATCACGTGTGCTCGCATAAGGGTATGTCATTAGGGTAGGATTTTTAGGGTTCTCCACACGTCTCGTGTAAGCTGAGCTCATTAGGACAGGCATCTTAGTTTTCTTAGGGTTCAGAGCAAAGGTGGTGGTTACCTCTCCGCTCCTTGGGTCCCATGAAGCCGTAAACCCAGGGGCAGGCCTGGCAACAGTTTTTCTTAGTCCCGACTTGTAAAAAGGAGTAAATAAATGAACGTTGTGTATGTGAGCGCAGAAATATACGTACTTTAGGTGTGTGTGTGTTTGGAGACCACGCTGGCTTTACGGGAGCAGCTGTAGCATTAGGCCTGGTCCAAGGGGGTGGTCACCACTGTCCCCTGAATGATCATGAGTCCTGTGTCCAGCTCCCACTCAAGTCACTCTTTGTTCATCTGCATCTCTCAGTGTACATTTCCGTCAGGAGGGTGAGCACCCTCGTCATTACAGTGCGAGGCTGGGTTACAGATACAATGGGCTGGGTTGAGGGCTGTTGCTCTAAGACTGCATAAAATACTTTACGTGGAAATGATATTGTTATATTATCTGGGATAAAAACTCAGAAAATGTCACGCAAGATGATTTATGCAGCTGACCAGCAGCCATCTGACTGCGGCCGCACAGATCTTGTGCTGGTTTGGCCTGTCCGGCCGGGTCGGACCGTGCTACACGCGCTCTGCTCCGTTGTAAATAGCGATCGGTAAAGGCGCACTGTGCCCGGCGTGGGAGTGAAGCGAGCGTTGGCTCTGCAGACCTGCAGTGTGCGTGGTTACGTGCTTGCTCGGAAATCCACACACGCTCGCACACTCGCACACTTGCACACACGTACATTCACACACGCTCGCGCATGTACACTAATATTTTCTCAAGTTTCTGTATTAATAAACTCTTTACTGTTCTTGGCCCTCCCGGATTTCAGTCGTATGCTAACCTTGAACGAGCTTGGCAGGTATCCTAATCTCTTGCACTCGTGTGGAGATGGGTGGGTTGAGTGCAGACGGTTCACCTCTCGATAAGTGAAGCGGGGCAGCCTTAGATTTTATCCCAGGGCCTACGAGGCTGAGTCATGGCCGAAAGGCACAAAGCCAAGCAGTGGCCGCAAACCAATTTAGGTCGAGTCCAGGGCACCACGGTGGCGAGATGTTAACTACCTTGCCTGCTATACAGAAGGTTGTGAGTCCGACCCCAACCCTGACACCTGTATGTTTGGAATTTGTATGTTCTCCCCTTGGTCGTGTGGATTTTTATCCGGGTCTTCCTGGTTTTTCCCTCCACATTTAGAAACATGCGTTTAGAGTATTTGGCTGCTATAAATTTCCACGTAAGTCTCTTCGTTGAGCTATTATTTGTGATCAGGTCGCTTCTGGAAAAGAGCAATATAGGCTCAGTGGGCCTTGCCTGGTAAAATAAAAAGTTTAGTTTAGAAAATTAGTGTCAAGTCCCAGGTCAAGGGGTTGGGGTCCTCTCGGCCGTGGTCAAGGTTGAAACAATTGATTCATTACATCGAATTAGCCTCTCCATTTCATTTTTGGCAAAAGGGGGCGGATCAATTAGCAGTCAATATTTAGAAATGTTTGGAAGTTATGGGAAGTTACGTGTGACCACCCGATGCGATGACTAGTATAATGAAAAATCGTTGCATGGAGAACATACTAATGGCTTACCAAAAATCCATGAAGAAGATACACCCCTTCATCCCATCACCATTGGCTCACCCATTGACAAACTGGCCCGATATCTGTCTGAGACCTTACAGCCATTCACTGGTAAGACCACCTCTTCTGTACTTAACTCAGCTCACCTGGCATCATCAATTAAGGACATCTCACTGTCCCCAGGTAATTTGCTCGTCAGTTTCGATGTTTCTTTGTTCACCAAAGTTCCTGTGCCCGATACCATTGCAATCATTGAAGATTTGGTCCAACAAGAATTGAATGCTGATGTCCCGGTCCTGGTGACACACTGCCTCACCAATACATACTTCACCTGGAATGGAATATTCTTCAAACAAACTGAAGGCACCCCTATGGGTTCTCCCTTATCTCCGGTTGTAACCAATGTTTTCATGGAAATTTTTTAGACTGACGCCATCCAGGCATCCACTCTACGCCCATCCTTGTGGAAGAGATACATGGATGACACGTTTGTCATCTGGCCACATTGCCGACCGGCTCTGAACCATTTCCTCAACCACATCAATTCCATACAGCCAGCCATCAAATTCAGCATGGAGGTAGAAAAGGATGGCAAACTACCTTTCTTGAATGTCCTAATCAAAAAGAGACCAGATGGCTCAATGAGGCATTCTGTCTACAGGAAAGCAACCCATACTGATGCCTACCTAAAACCTGACTCCCACCACCATCTATCCCAGAAGAATTCCCTCGAGAACTCTACACCATAGAGCTCAATGTATCTCCGACCATGAACACCTAACCAGTGAGCTGAAACACGTATACCAAGCTCTCAGGGCGAATGGATACTCTGACTACACAATCTACAAAGCCATCACCCCAACCGTGAGGAAAGAGCCATCTCAGGATTCAATCAAAACCATCACCTTGCCATACATCGCAGGGATAACCAAAAATATTTCCAAAATCATGAATAAACACAAGATCCAGTTCCGATTTAACACTACGTAAAATTCGTGATCTGATCCCATCTGTGAAGGACAAGATCCCTGACATGCAATATCCCAGCGTCTACAAACTAAGCTGTATCTGCAGCAGCATTTACATTGGGGAAACTAAGCGACATGTCTCGGACCATGTTCGTGAGCATAAGGCAGATTTGAAACACGGTAGGACTAATACTTCTGCCGTGGCTGATAATTATTTTAATGCGGCAGGCTCACACGAAATGTATTACTCTAAGACGATGGTACTTTGCAAGCCCACTGGCTATCAACAAAGATTCGTTTATGAAGCCATCCATATATACAGACACAGACACAATTTCAACCGAGAAGATGGGTACTAACTCGGAAATCATTGGAAGGATGTCATCAACCACTTTGGGTCATGACTTGATTTGCGTTCTCTTGTCAAGGGAGCACAGGTCAAGTCATGACTTGATTTGTGTTTTCTTGTTACCTTACCCCCGCGTATGCCCGGCCCACTTCGTTCTGACACCAGGACGTTTTGTTGGTACTCCACGTTCCATGCTTCCACTGCCGGAGCGCTTGTACCATGCCCACTTTTTTTAAACCTTTAAAAACGGTCGCCTTCGGTGACCTCCCCCTCTTTCCTCCTGAAGACGATCGCTTGTGTTGTGACCGAAACGTCGTGGTTTATTTTATTATTTTACCGAAATAACCTAAGATAAATCTACATTAGAGACTGCCAGTTCACTCACTCAGTTTAATAACCATTGCTACAGTCTACATTATAGACTGTCAGTACACTCACCGAGGATAAGAACCAGGCTACAGTCTACATTATAGACTGCCAGTACACTCAGTTTAATAACCATTGCTACAGTCTACATTATAGACTGCCAATACGCTCTCCAAGCTTAAAAACCAGGCTACAGTCTACATTATAGACTGCCAGTTCACTCGCTCAGATTAAGAACCAAGCTACAATCTACGTTAGTGGTTTTTTATTTTTTAGTCACTTTATTTGTATTATTATTTTTCTATCTACGTGACTTTACCGAAAGAACCAAAGAATATGAATTCCTACAGGTTAAGAAAGTGAAGTCAAAACATAATAATAGCGTTGTCAAATCCGCCACTGGGGGGCGCCAGTGCCTCAAGTATTGAGTACGCGAAAGGAGACGGGAGCCGGTCGCGTGATGCACATTGAACCTTACTCTTTGGTTCTTTCAGTAAAGTCACGTAGGTATAAAATAAAATAAATTCCCGACGTTTAGGGCGCAACACAAGCGTCCGTCATCAGGTGGGAAAGCACCGAAAGAACCGAAGAGTATGGATTCCTGCAGTCACGAAAGCTTCAAATCAAGATTCACATTGAACTTGTTGTCGGGTCATCACCAGCATCACCAATCACCCCGTTAAAAGCATCACCGTGACCACTCGCGTTATCACCACCACCATCATCACCATCACCATAATCCCATCACCACCATCATCACCATCACCATAATCCCATCACCACCAACATCATCATCACCATAATCCCATCACCACCAACATCACCATAATCCCATCACCACCACCATCATCATCACCACCATAATCCCATCACCAACATCATCATCATCACCATAATCCCATTACCAACAACATCATCATCACCATTATCCCATCACCACCACCATCATCATCACTATAATCTCATCATCATCACCATTATCCCATCACCACCACCATCACCATAATCCCATCACCACCACCATCATCATCACCACCACCAACATCATCTATGGCAGTGGTTCTCACCTGGGGATACGCGGCAATGTCCCAGGCGGCAGGTGAGGTGATTTATAAATGTGACATTATATAATACATAAGTTATTGGTATTGGTGAATAATAATCACGTACGAATCCGCCAATATAAAATAACTACGATTCGATTTAAATCCATATGGTAACCTAGATCGATATAAAAGACATTTATAAACTATTTTAACCTCGACAATGTGGTTCCCAAGAGTAACCAGCTGGCGAGAACAAATTAGGTTACGCATGGAGAGCGTCGGTTGAATTTAGTTTTATTCGCTTGCTAGTTAGGATACCACACAAAATGGTCAATTTGGTTAAAACATTGATGTTCATTATTCATACATGTATTTCTCGGAAGCGTTTTGGGTCAGGCAAAGGGGGTTCTATGTTGACGTAAAATTTAACAAGAGGTAGTTAAGAGTCGCCAACAAAGGTTGAGAACCGCCGATCAATTCCATTGCGAGGCGCATAATGATCTCGTTACCAGTACTGCCGCCATCAGCACGTGGCGACTCTGCATGGACGCCCACGGCTGCCTGGTAACCGTTGCATGGGACCGGCGAGGATTGACCTCACCCCCCCCCCCCCCTTCTCTTCTTCACACACCACGTACACACACTGTGTGTATGTGGTGTGTGTACTTATCACCCCCAGATATACACCGTGTGTGTACACCTATCGCACCCCATGTACAACACCCTGTGTGTGCAGTTATCGCGCACGATACAACCACTGCTGGATGAGGACTCCCCCCCACCCCCCCCCCCCCCCCCATGTCATGCCCATCGCTCACGGTCCCGTGATGCCACGCTCCGTCTCACCTCTGCACATCAAATGATCCCGTAGCTCCATCTCCGTGGTGATTATCCTCATTTCGTCACCAGTCTCGACCATCAACCTTCATCTCCATCAGTCGCGACTTTGTCCTGCTCAAACCCACATACTTGTTTTTTTTTTAAGTTACTGTTTCTGATTTGCGTGTGCTTTCAAATTCCACGTGTTACTCTTTCCATCTCTCACAGTGTTTCTAACGTACACGTCTCGCCCTACGCTCGTGCAGTCTTCGTTGGGTGTTCCATTTCCTTTGTCAGCGCTCTCGGTCCAGGTCAATGTCAGTCACAAAAGGCGATACGACGCGCTGCCTGGAACCGCCTTCTCTGGGCGCGTATGCATTCCGTCCTCAAATCGTGGGACCAAGCCTCAATAATGATTGTCTTCAAAAAGGAACGTGTTTGTTTGAATAATCACCGACCGATTGACCTATTATCACGTGAAGATCAAAGGGAACCGCCTGGTGGCCAAATACAACGAGGAGCAAGTTGGAGTGAGAATGATGTTTCTGTTGCACAAATACAAATTCTCGTGAAGACAAATGAATATCGCACGCACACTTTTACAAACTATGAAATTGCATTTTATTCAGCAGAACCTTACGCAGCCATGCAAACGTTCACAAACCAACGCTAAAATAATAATAACAATACTACACACAGGTCTCATCGACACCATCTCGAGATGGGCCCGTGTGGAGGTGGAGCCCTCGCATTAAGTCTACTGACAAAGCAGAGCACGCGTGTAATGGTATGGACATTTCTACTACACCACAACAAGTGGGATCCCAAGAACCACGCACACTGCCGCACTCCAATTCCCTTCATGAACGCATTCCAAATGGAGTTGAAATGGTTTGTTGATTTGCTCTTTCCGTCCGCGACGAGAGGAGGCAGTGGGAGAGGCAATTATAATTCTTGTGAGCATGATCCAATATGACAGCGGCGTTAGAATAGAAGAATTATTAACTCAGGCCGATTGAAAACCCCGGCCACATCGATCAAAGAGCTGAGCAAAGTTTGGGGACAAGAAAACGACGTGTACTCTACAGCAAAAATGACGCTTTGTAAATACCGTATGCAAACGTGTTTTGTGTTCACCGCTGCTCCTCGTCTTCCGTACTGCCAATTAAATACAAACGCGTGTCGGGAAGCCTTGCAGAATCCATACGTGTGCGTGATTAGTCTTCCTTGTTCAATGCGAATACAGAACCGTGTTTGCACGCGAGCACAGTTGAATGCGATTGCGAATTCAACAGGGCAGATATGAGATACGTCGGTGTACGGTACACATCCGTGCACAAAAAAAATATTTCTGGCCAACAGAAGACACGTAAACTATCACCTTACACAAAATAATAACAAGGAGGTTACTGTCGCTGAGACCTCGACATTTTGGCCGACTGGCCTTGTTCAGTTGACAGTACACAACTTATCTTAATTAACCTGCTGCAAAATCACTAACGGAGTGACTTTAACACGGGGATTGAGAACGTTCGCGACCACAATGTTTGTAAATGACTGCACTGGCCAGGACTCCGTCGATGGGAGTGCGATGGGAATGACCTTATTCGTACTTACAATCATAAGGACGCTGCTGCTACTACAACAACGACAACAAAACCAAGGCGCTATTATCACAGCACACGACGCCACGAGTGGCCGCGCTCGTGCGCTGTAAAATGTTGATTGTAACCGAAGTCCTTGAATAATTCTGTTTCTGAACGGGAACCAGTGACGCATCCACAAGTTGCGCCGGTTTGCCGTCCTCTGTGTCGCTAATTACCAATTAGCGGTCACCCGGGCGCGGGGCTCACGGCTTCAGCTGTGATAACGAAGCTACCGACATCGGCACGCGGCGGTCTACGCTTGCGAATGACGGCGCGGCGTCTTTAACGCGCGCCTCGCAGGCGGCGGCGTGCGCTTCGGTCATGGATGAACATTGTTGCACGCGAGATTCCGGGGGGGGGGGCTGCTGCTGCTGCTGCTACCTGGCGCGGGAATGGAACTTCTTCACCGTAGTCCCCGTGATTCCCGGCTCGGGAAAGGAGTGGAGCGGGCAGTGAAGAGAGAGAGGTGTTGGGGGAGGCTGTGTGTATCGCGGGGCGCCCGGCTGCTGTCTCAGCAAATCCATAAGCATCATCCGTTTTTTCAGTTTTTATTTCAGTTTATTTATTTTGGTATAGCCCCGTGAGCCATTCGGCTCTTGAATCGGGTGCAACCATAACAAACTAAAAAAAACAAAAACACGAACAAGAAAACATCTGAAAGTGACTATTTCCACCAACAACATTTCGTCGGCGTCTTAGAACGGCACGGCGCGCACGTGCACCCATGACTAAATTAACACAATGTAACACTCTTTCCCGTCCCTCCCAGTTGATCACACGCACAAGGACAATCACACAATCACGCATACACAGCAGGCACGAGCACTTAGAAGAGCCTGAAACAGTTTACGGCGCGCATCGTGCACGCGCTCGAGCTGCCAAGGGGGCGTCCATAAATGACGTCACGCGATTAAGAACGATTTTTGACCCCCCCCCTCCCCTTCGTCACACGGCGTCACAAAGAGACAGACCCCCTTCCCTAATATATGACGTCACAAAGATCTTCCGCCCCCCCCCCCCCAAATGTGGCGCTGCACTCTGATGTTGTAGGAGAAAACATTTATTAAAAAGTGTATTTAATTAAGTAGAACGTGTTGTCTATATTTATTTAAAGTTGCGCATTTTGATGTGACGTCACATTTCTCACCCCCCCCCCCCCTCGTCACACATCGTCACAAATGTCTGACCCCCCCCCCATCCCCTAGGTGCGTGACGTCATTTATGGACGGCCCCCAAGGCATTCACAGTCAGCCTAGGTCAGGGGTCGGCAACCAATATAACAAGAGACATTTTTTTAGAATTCGGTAAAAACTCAACATTTAAAGAGCCACGATGGATGTGGAAACGAGAGGGTCTATGAAGAGTGCCGTGTACAGTACTCTCTAAACCCATCCGGGCGTCTGGGCTTGTTAATTCCTGCCACCCGTACACAGATGCCAATCCCATACCTACTATACTCACCCAGGAATGTCCTTAACGCTGGTGACGTCACTCCACATCGACCATCCCCCCTAATTAATATTTATGAGCAGGTAAAGTCATACAAATGGACACCCCCCCCACCCCTAATTCCGTCACTCAATATGGAGTACTCCCCCTCCCCCCTCAGTAATAATCATGAGCAAGTGACGTCACACCACATCGAACAGCCCCCCTCATTAATAATAATTAGCGGGTAACGTCACTCCACATGGGGCGGGCGAGGCGCCTCCTCCCCCCTCCTCGGCGTCAACTCACAACCCTCACTACAAAGGCAGAACCCTCACGTCATCACGTGATCTCCGTAACGCTGTTGTTGAGACATCAAAGTAAAAAGGAGGACATGATGAACAAGGGATTATAACCTTTAAATTAAATAAGTCTGTGTCACTGCGCCCTTACAAATGGCACGCGCAATAATGCAATGAATTATCACGTCGCGGTCTGATTTTCGCTTGCAGGTTTCAGATTTACTGCAATACACCTGTCCTTGGATGGGCACAAGGCGAGTTCTTAGGCTTGCGACCAGGTGCCAACCCAAATATATGGACACGATAATACACAAGACTAAGAGCCCCAGTTTCGGGAAAGTGCTGTCAGCGAGCACACATAAAGGCCAAGACGGCACACGAGGGGGTGGGTGGCCACCACCACCCCCGGCCGCCTTTGTCTCCCTTGTGACGATGTTTACACACCCCACCAGATACTCATTTGAGGATGAGTCGACCTAGGGGAGGCCCAGGACCGGTTCAGATAATCGTCACCGGCGTTGGCTGTGAGCGGGATTCGAGCTGGTTCGTGGCGCAGCGCGCTAACCGCTGCGCCACCGCGCCCCATGCCCACAATCGTACACACAAAGTCACACACACAAAAAGACAACACACACACGGAGCCAACCTCAGCTGTGCGCCGCACCGCGCTGCAGCTCGGGCATGCTGAAAGCGCGCTTAGGGGGCGGCTCATGCAACGGGTCCCCTCCGCGTTCCGCCGCGCAGAGGACGCGCGCCGCGCCCCCGCCGCGCTCCACGTCTTCCGAGATGGAGCGGATGATGGAATCAGCGGTGGCGGCGTCGCTCGGGTGGATGCGGGCCGGGGACCGGGGCAGCAGCAGCGCGGAGGCCCAGGCGAGGGGGCGGCCACGCCGCGAGGGCCCCCACTGTTTGGAGAGACGGTGCAGGGCCTCCTCGCTGTGGGCCCGGTCCACGGCCTCGCGCACCACGTTGCGGAAGAGCCCCACCACCTCGGCCGGCTCGGCCTCGAACTCGCACACGGTCTGGCGGAACCTGCAGCAGTAGAATGAAACAATACAACCTCGAAAACAGCAACATTGACAACAATGAAACCACCAAGAACACAACAGCACACAACAACAATAAACAGCAACAGCACACAACAAAGCAAGACACAGCAGCAACAACAATAAACAGTAGCAGCAACAAAACAAGATACGCAGCTACAAACAAGTACTGTACTTTGTACAATTATCCACGCGCATTGCTTTGCAGCCGGTTATCACGAATGCGAAAACAGCATGATTTTGTTTCATGTGACGCAATCGAAGAATTAGTCGGTGACACGTGGAGGGATTCTGCATGCGCCTTGTGCTGAGCGTGGGTTGGAGGTGGCGTGTGTTTGAGCATGGGGTCGAGCATAGAATTGAAATCGCTGTTATTTATATCCATTCCTGACACACCTAATGTGCATGAATCATAATTTATCCATCCATATTTCACGGCCTCATTCAATAGCTTTCTAATGCCGTTCAGTTGTAGGTGACCGGGTTGTTTGACGGCCAGAGCCGAATTTCAGTCAGACGAAGTGCAGTAAGTTAATGTCAGCCCAGTCACCAATGATTGCGAAAAATGCAAAGCATGAAATTTACATTACACTACTGTTTTCACTTCTTAATTTTGTTACATTCCTGCTCTGAGAATAAAAAAACCAGATCGGACTGACTGGGGAGCAATGGACATTGAAGGGATCTCAGAACTAGTTTTGTGCTGGGACAGTTCCGAATGGACTCTGCCAATAATCCGGAGAGTGTAATGGAAATCAGACCGTGAAGAAGACAAAGTAGATATACTGTGTGTGTGTATATATACTGTGCATATATCCCCTCCCAGGATCAGTGCTTCACTAAGCGCTTAACAATACGATCATAATCTACAGTTGCATTACGTCAACAACGGTTTAGAGATTACAGAGCTAAATAAAACAGAACTCGCTGCCGGCACCTGAAGTGTTGATACAGTCAGGCCTGACTGCTGATGAGACCCAGACGGCCGAAACCCGTCAAGAGTTGTGTTCGATTGCTTGAACAATTGCTGATGAATTATATTGGTCTGTAGAGTCTATAGGTGGGTGTACTAAGCACATGTTTATTGATATGTGGAGACACAGAAGCAAGTAATATTTACGCATGCTTTACGCAATGTTGCCGAGTGCGATAAGGATTTCCAAACGCCCATAATAGAGGGGTGGGCTTACAACGGCAACGGCCACATTCGTTTATTTTGAGTTGGGTGTCTGCAGAAGCTTTTGAATACGCAGTGGATATCTCTCCGTGTTGTCAAATTTATTTGTCTTCCGGCCTGCGCTGATCTTTCTGTTGCGACGAGTTCCCTCTTCATTTGCACATTTTAATAACCAAGTACGCCTCGATATCAGTGTCCTATGAGCAGAGTGACATAAGGGAGACAGGCGCTCGGTCAGGTAAGAGCAGGGTTTCATTTGCCACTGCATATATCAGGGTCGCGGAATAGACTGCAGGTGGCACGTGATTACATACATCCACACACACCGAAAGCCCACAGTCATTGCGAGATATATACTACTAGATATGGTGTGCCGGTTGCGGAAATATTATCCAGGTCGTTGACCCGGACAGACCTGGCTGGAATTCATCCATGGGTAGGAGGCAGCGAAACCACGCAGAGCCTCTTCGGGAAAAAAACCCATGAACTGAGGAACTTGAGCTCAATTCGCACAGGGGGTGGGGGAATCGACGCAGCGAGAGTTTTGACTGCGGCACCACGATCAGAATTATCCGATTTAGTCAGAACCATGGCATTGACGTCACGCGCGTAGTTGTTGACTCCTGGTCGTGGTTAAACCAGATTAAGGAAACCGACAACAACGAATTTGGCTCTAATTCAAATCGGTTTACAGCCTAATCCAAGGTACAGCGGGGGTGGGTCGGGGACCCACGGGGCCTCGTGACGATGGAGCTTGGCAACCCAGACCGGGGCCCCGGTGCCGCCGGTGCTGGGCCATCCTGTGGAGGCAGAAGCCGCTTCCAGGCCATCGTGGGCACGAAACAATTCAATTTTTATAACGAGGAATCCAGATTGCAGTCACGGCGCGAGACGGGGCAGAAGGGGGAGGGCGTTTTGGTTTGCGGGAGCCCCATTGTGGTTTTGGTTTGCGGATCCGTTGGGGATGGCCCTCCCCCCCCTCCTTGGCAATGGACCATGGTTCTCCATGCAGGGTCTGCGCGTCGAACCATGAACGTGACGAGGGACATAGAGACCAGGAGGTGGAGACGAGGCTAATGAAAAAGGGTTCGCCACGTGTTGACACAGGGATCTCAGCGGGACCTGCGTGATGGTAATCCAGTCGTGGGCTCCTCCCGTGACTTCATGTGAACCCCATGAGAATGGCTTGTCGTAAAGATCCACTCCTTGGAATGTATGTTGAACTTATTTTGCACCGTACGAAGCCAACCATGTGAATCGAAGGTGCGGGCGAAGGACACCAAATTTAACACAAAACGCAGTTCTAAAGAAATTCGTTTTCAATCTAGATTTGAAAGTTCATAGCTCCAATGGCTTCCAAATATCGAAAGGAAGGGCGTCCCAGACAGCCGCAAAGGCGCATCTGAAAGCGCGCGATGCAGTGACCGTATTTGTTCTATGGTTGGCCAAAGACGCTGCTACGAGGATGACCAGAGTTGGCATGATGGTTTATGATCTTTGACGAGATCAGCTGGGTGGGAGTGCCCAGGGGTGACCCCGCAAATATGTGACTTGCCGCTCGACTCTGGTGAATCCATTTACACTGCTTGGGGGAGGATACACGCGAAGGGATTAAAACAAAGTGCATATTGTGTGCAGTCCAGTGACCCCCTGTGAAACCCAAGTGACCCGTGACCCCCTCCACGCGCGGAGGCCTTGTGCTGTCCTGCCGTGGATCCGACTGCCAGGGTGACCTCTGACTTTGCCGAGATCTTAATTAGGCGTCATTGTTCAGAGCAGATGCAGTAATTAATTAGGCGTAGGTTTGAGCGCAAGGTGAACCCTTAATTGGTCTAAAATGTCGTGGCTGAGCAGATTGCGCCGGACTAAGCGCTCACGGTCAAATCCTCGCCGAGTTGGGGGGTTGGTGATGAGCGATGGCGGGATGCGCAATGTGTGTGGATGTATGGGCTGGGGGTGGGGTGCGGGGTGTGTGTGGATGTACGTGCAGGGTGTGGGGTGTGTGTGGATGTATGTGCAGGGTGTGTTGTGCGGGGTGTGTGTGGATGTATGTGCAGGGCGTGGGGTGTGTGTGGATGTATGTGCAGGGTGTGTGGTGCGGGGTGTGTGTGGATGTATGTGCAGGGTGTGGGGTGTGTGTGGATGTATGTGCAGGGTGTGGTGTGGGGTGTGTGTGGATGTATGTGCAGGGTGTGGTGTGGGGTGTGTGTGGATGTATGTGCAGGGTGTGGTGTGGGGGGTGTGTGGATGTATGTGCAGGGTGTGGTGTGGGGTGTGTGTGGATGTATGTGCAGGGTGTGGTGTGGGGTGTGTGTGGATGTATGTGCAGGGTGTGGTGCGGGGTGTGTGTGGATGTATGTGCAGGGTGTGGGGTGTGTGTGGATGTATGTGCAGGGTGTGGTGTGGGGTGTGTGTGGATGTATGTGCAGGGGGTGGGGTGTGTGTGGATGTATGTGCAGGGTGTGGGGTGTGTGTGGATGTATGTGCAGGGTGTGTGGTGCGGGGTGTGTGTGGATGTATGTGCAGGGTGTGGGGTGTGTGTGGATGTATGTGCAGGGTGTGGTGTGGGGTGTGTGTGGATGTATGTGCAGGGTGTGGTGTGGGGTGTGTGTGGATGTATGTGCAGGGTGTGTGGGGTGCGGGGTGTGTGTGGATGTATGTGCAGGGTGTGGGGTGGGGTGTGTGTGGATGTATGTGCAGGGTGTGGGGTGTGTGTGGATGTATGTGCAGGGTGTGGGGTGTGTGTGGATGTATGTGCAGGGTGTGGGGTGCCAGGTGTGTGTGGATGTATGTGCAGGGTGTGTGTGGTGCGGGGTGTGTGTGGATGTATGTGCAGGGTGTGAGGTGGGGTGTGTGTGGATGTATGTGCAGGGTGTGGGGTGTGTGTGGATGTATGTGCAGGGTGTGTGGTGTGTGTGGATGTATGGGGCAGGGTGTGGGGTGCCAGGTGTGTGTGGATGTATGTGCAGGGGGTGGAGTGTGGGGTGTGTGTGGATGTATGTGCAGGGTGTGGGGTGTGTGTGGATGTATGTGCAGGGTGTGTGGTGCGGGGTGTGTGTGGATGTATGGGGCAGGGGGTTGGGGGAGGAGTGGAGATCACTGCTGCACTAATTACGCTAATTAGTACCGGGAGTGACGGCGGACGCGTGTGATCCAGCGCCGTAGTGGAAAGGGTTAGCGGATCGCGAAAACATTTGTAAACCTCCCTCGCTGGGGTTGGAAGTCGCCAGGCGATCACAGTACAGCAAGTGGGTTCGTAAACGTCTCTGTATAGCGGGACCTTTTCGTATTATCTCCTCATATTCGCAGTGAAGTTTCTCTGGGATCTCCGGATTCCTCAATCCTGAAGAAAACACTCATCTCCATATATATAAAAGGCAAATGTCTATATATAAAAGGCAAAGTTGTGAATGTGTGTTTGTTCAAAATGTTTAGCGTACTTCCCGACATGCAACAAACTGGAAATTTGCCATGTGGGTACTTTCCAGACTGTACACCATGCAAAAAATATAACAATACACTTTAGTTTTTTTTGGGGGGGGAGCTCAATAATGTATATATTTTTATTGCACGGCAAGTGAGCTGTGACGTCAAATCTGTCACGTGACCCGCGCATGTGGAAGCGTAACGCATTGTAGTGTAGCGGTTAGCGCGCCGCGCTACGAACCCGGCGACCCGAGTTCGATTCCCGCTCACGGCCACCACCGGTGACGATTATTTTAACCGGTCCTGGGCCTCCCCTAGGTCGACGCAGCCTCAAACGACTAACTGCTGTGGTGTGTGAACATCGCCACTGGAGAGACAAAGGCGGCCGGACGTGGTGGATCCAAGTCCCGGGCGAAGCGGGGTAGTACAGCTAGTTATATATATTAAAAAATGAATTTGCCGAACACCCTAACGTAGTAGGACCATTTTGAGCTAGACCCCAGACACGTAAGCGAGGATTATCTGCATGAATGGCATAGTCATCATCATTCCTATTAAAATATTTAGTTTCGGCATCGGATTTGGCTTCGTCTCGCTTCCATGGCCGCAGTTGTGATCAGTTCGCCGCAATGGGTGGTTGATGAATGGCGTGCAATCTCCACCCTCTCTCCTTGCCTTGTCCAAACGCGCCCCGTGGCGAATACATCTCTGGTGTTCGTTCCATACCCCTCCCCCACCCGCCTGCCGTGACTCGTCAATGTCTGTGATTGGCTCGCTTATCGAGGTCAGGTCACGTCCTCTTGGCAATCGCATTCCCTACTTGGATGCTGTTGGTTGTCGAGTTATTCGACGAATACTACTTCGTCCATGTAATAACTTAATGGTAACATCTCTTGAAACCGGACTGATTGGTTTGGGGGGCCTTTTCAATGGGATGGGGGGGGGGTCGGGGTTCCAGAAAGTAATTAAATATTTGGAACAAACACTGCATTATAATTGCTGGACAATCACGACCGCGTTCTGACCGCCACCACACACACCAGTATTTCCTATCCTCACACACACACACACAGACTCTAACCCTCCCCTCACACACACAGAGACTCTAACCCTCCCCTCAGAGACAAAGATGTCTTGTGTTGCCTTAACAGACTGTTGGGGAAAGTGCTGTTAGCGCACACCTCTGAAAGCCATCACGGTACGCAAGAAGGTGGGTGGCAAGCATCACGCCCGACCGCCTTTGTCTGCCCAGAGGGGATGATTACACCCCACAGCAGGTACTCATTTGAGGCTGAGTCGACCTAGGGGAAGCCCAGGACCGGTTCAGTTAATTGTAACCCCTCAAACGCACGCACACGCACACACCCTAACCCCTACCTCCTCTCACCTGAGGATGGTTGGGCCGCAGTCCGCGGGCCGCACCTGGGCGCATAGCGCCTCCAGGGCCATGCGCTCCGCGGGGGGCAACTCCAGGGTTGGGGGCCGCGGGGGGCTGGCGAGCCAGCTGTAGTCCACTCCGGAGCGCAGGCGTCGGAACTCGGCTTCCCGCGCCCGCGTCGTGCGCTCAGCGTCCCGCACGGCCCCACTCAGCTCCAGCATGAGCAGCTCGGCCACGGCGTCACCGTGGTCCCGCTGGGCGGAACGCCACGAGGGGCCCCCCGCGGCCTCGCCGCCTCCCGTCAAGGGTCTCAGCCACCCCCACATGACCCCGTGGGGACCCCGCGGGACCACGAGGGGGCCCAAGGGGGCTACTGGCTGTCGCGTCTGGTGAACAATTGAAGGCGGACGTGTGGGGACGCGGGCACTGGAATTAGAGATTTTGTTTCGAATCACGTTTGCTGAGCACAGGCACAAAGGTCCAAAAACGCCAAACGGTCGAAAATAATCAGCGATATTGAAGGTGTAATAGATACAACTCGATCCGTTTCTTGGATTGAGAAAGGTGATACAAAAATGAATAAACAACTTTGGGAATGAGACGATGGGAGGGATTGATCCTCCGCGACATCGATATGGGCCCTGGCTGGACCTGGAAGGCAGGGGCGGGGGGCATGGGGGCGATGGGACGTCCGGAGGGGAGAGAAGGGCTCTTTCAGAGCTTGGCGTGGGAGCGGGAGGACGTGAGGATCCCGGAGAGCGACGGGGGGGTGGGGCAGGGGGGGGTCCTGCAGATAGTAAAATGGGGACGGCGGCTGGGAGGGGGGGGGAAGGGGGTCTGTGGTGGGATTTGTGACACTGATTGTAACCCCCCTTGTGCTCAGAACGTTCCACGCCCACGGCACAAATCTCCTGGCGCGTGCCAGACGCATCAGTACAAGGTGTTTACGTGGCACAAATACATTGCTTAAGTGGAAGGACATATACACAGTATTGCTTTCCTATTTATCGTGTTGTTTATATTCTGCACAACGACGCGCAGGATGAGTTATGTTATGTAGTGCTGTACTGTATAACATTTTCCGTCGAACTAAGACCCAGATCTTAAAGAGAGGGCCGTTGTCTATAACATTTGGCAGTTCAGAATTGATGCAGGCGAGCCTGACTGCTGATGAGGCACTGAATGTGGAAAACCGCTCCAGAGTTGTGCTTGCGTTGTGCTTGTGTTGAGTTGTGCTTGTGTTGAGTTGTGCTTGTGTTGAGTTTTGCTTGTGTTGTGCTTGTGTTGAGTTGTGCTTGTGTTGAATCAAATCTGCTGAAATGATGCACTCCCAGAAAGGTGTGTGGCTGATGGGATTTCTAAAAAACCTTTTTTTTTAAAGCGCAGGGTCTCATATATATAGTCCGCTTGTTTGTGTTGTTATTTATATTCTCCATAACGACACGAATGGTCAGCTTGTGTTTATGTGCACGGTCACAAACGTGTGGGGAGCGGTAGTGTAGCAGTTAGCGCGCTAAACAACGAACCCGGCGACCCGAGTTCAATTCCCGCTCACGGCTTGTGTTGAGTTGTGCTTGTGTTGTGCATCCCGCCAACACCAGTGACGATTATCTTAACCGGTCAAGTGCCTCCCGTAGGTTGACTGAGCCTCAAATTAGTACCTGGTGCGGTGTGTAAACATCGCCACTGGAGAGACTCAGGCGACCGGGCGTGATGCTGGTCACCACCCACCCCTGCGTGCTCGATACCAGCACTTTCCCCAACAATCTGTGTTAAGGCTACACCGTTGGCTCATTATCTTTGGCCATAAGAGTGGGACACTAGGTGGGGGGTGGCCGGCGGGGCCTTGCCAGCCTGACTCGTGCGGATGAGTGAGCAGGGCTCTGAGCCGGGGGGGGGGGGTGTGCTGAGGAGCATGAGGGGGGGGGGGCAGGGGGGAGCGGGGCCACGAAGACCCCGCTCGGTCTCGCGCGGGGACAGACCCCGCTGTGTAGCAGCAGCGGGGTCTGTGTAGCGGGGTCTGTGTAGCAGCAGCGGGGTTTGTGTAGCGGGGTCTGGGTAGCCGCAGCGGGGTCCGTGTAGTCGCAGCGGGGTCTGTGTAGCGGGGTCTGTGTAGTCGCAGCGGGGTCTGTGTAGCCGCAGCGGGGTCTGTGTAGCGGGGTCTGTGTAGCTGTAGCGGGGTCTGTGTAGCGGGGTCTGTGTAGCGGGGTCTGTGTAGCGGGGTCTGTGTAGCTGTAGCGGGGTCTGTGTAGTCGCAGCGGGGTCTGTGTAGCCGCAGCGGGGTCTGTGTAGCGGGGTCTGTGTAGCTGTAGCGGGGTCTGTGTAGCGGGGTCCGTGTAGCGGGGTCTGTGTAGCGGGGTCTGTGTAGCTGTAGCGGGGTCTATGTAGCCGCAGCGGGGTCTGTGTAGCCGCAGCAGGGTCTGTGTAGCCGCAGCGGGGTCTGTGTAGCCGGGGTCTGTGTAGCAGCAGCGAGGTCTGTGTAGCGGGGTCTGTGTAGCAGTAGCGGGGGGGTCTGTGTAGCCGCAGACCGGCACGATGTGGCAGGCGGTCGCCTAGCAACGGGATGTGCGTGCACACCCAAGGGGACGCGTCCTGTACGCGTGACCGTGCGTTACCGTGCGTGACCGTGCGTGACCGTGCGTGATTGTGCGTGACTGTGCGTGACCGTGCGTTACCGTGCGTGACCGTGCGTGACCGTGCGTGATTGTGCTTGACTGTGCGTGACCGTGCGTGACCGTGCGTGACCGTGCGTGACCGTGCGTGACCGTGCGTGACTGTGCGTGACCGTGCGTTACCGTGCGTGACCGTGCGTGACTGTGCGTGACCGTGCGTGACTGTGCGTGACCGTGCGTGACTGTGCGTGACTGTGCGTGACCGTGCGTGACCGTGCGTGACCATGCGTGACCGTGCGTGACCGTGCGTGACTGTGCGTGACCGCGCGTTACCGCGCGTTACCGTGCGTGACCGTGCGTGACCGCGCGTGTCCGTGCGTGACCGTGCGTGACCGTGCGTGATTGTGCGTGACTGTGCGTTACCGTGCGTGATTGTGCGTGACTGTGCATGACCGTGCGTGACCGTGCGTGACTGTGCGTGACTGTGCGTGACCGTGCGTGACTATGCGTGACTATGCGTGACTGAGTGTGACTGCGTGACTGAGTGTGACTGTGCGTGACTCTGCGTGACCGTGCATGACCGTGCGTGAGACTGTTTCTGTAACTGATTAAGTGGGGAACGGTAGCGTAGAGGTTAGAACGAACCTGGCGAGCCGAATTTTGACTCCCGCTCACGGCCCACACCAGTGACGATTATCTGAACCGGTCTTCGGCCTCTCCTAGGTCGACTCAGCCTCAAATGAGTACCTGGTGCGATGTAAACATCGCCACTCGGGAGACAAAGGCGGTCGGGCGTGGTGCTCGACACCCACCCCCTCGTGTGCCGTGCCGGCCTTCATCGCTGCTCGCTAACACCACTTGCCCCTACAGTCTGTTAAATGCTACACGGGGGATCGTTGTCTTCTGCGCGCGTCTCTATGTCAGTGTGAATATGTCTATGCACCCGTAACCCACATTAGTAATGTCACTGCATACTCGCTACTGTGTGAAGCCGCGTTGCTGACGCATGAACAAGCGCAGCGGCGAAGCGGTGTGGATACCTTCGCTGAGCCCTCTGCGCTCTCCGCCACCTCTCTCTTCTCCTCTTCCTCCGCCTCCTCCTTACTCCCTGGGTGGCCCGGGGCCACGGATCCCTGCAGACTCTCGCAGCGGGTGACTCTCGCTCCAGGCGGCCTCTCTTCCCCCCCCCACAACTACCGGCCCTTCTCCGGACAGGCAGACGCGCAGACGGACGGGCAGATAGAGGAGACGAACGCGCTCGAGAGAGCAGACAGCGTCGGTGAATCGGCTCCGCGCTCCCGATGAATTAATCCCGCGCACGCGCGCAACGCGTGGCTGATGTCCTCAGCAAGCAGAGAGCGCGTCTGCTCTCTAGCATCACGTGTGCTCACGTGCATATGAGAACGACAACAGTCGACTTTCGCCACCAAGTGGCGGTGATGGTATCACGGTGTTTGTGCCGGGCTAGGTGCACCTTGAGGCCACGTGAAGTGTCGAAGGCTCGCTGATAGGAGGTCCCGGAGCAGACCCAGGTGCCGTGGGTTGATTGACTGAGATGACTGAGATGACTGGCAGATGACTGAGATGACTAGCAGATGACTGAGATGACTGAGATGACTGGCAGATGACTGAGATGACTGAGATGACTGGCAGATGACTGAGATGACTGGCAGATGACTGGCATATGACTGAGATGACTGAGATGACTGGCAGATGCACCAACTGTGCTCCCTTCTGTGTTAACCTGCTGCTTTTTAGCCGAACAACGCTTTGCTCGTGTTGAGCTTCGCTCCTCCGCCCTCCGTTGTTGCTGGAGGGCGACTGCCTCCAATTGCCCAGTAGCAGCGTCCTTCACGAGCCTCCTCCACAGAGGCCGATCTTGACACCAATGGTACTGATCATCGGCCGGTCTAAACCAAACACTCAACACGTTAATCAATAACGCTGCCTTTAATGGAAAACATGTATCGTTTATATATTGTTTTCTTTAACGGTAGTGTTATTTACGAACATCGCCTGATGAAGCTAGTTGTAATTACTGGCGAAACGTCGTACTCAGATTGTAGATGTTGTGGCTTTGATCTACAACACACCGATGTTGCTGTACTTAGTAACGAATTAGCACGTTCTGTTTACGTGACAAACCTTACTAATTGGCCTAGTCGGATGGTAGAGGGTTTAACGACACATTTACGCGATATAACCCCTAAAAAACGTGTATTATGGATTGACGAACATGTTGAGGTTTTATTTATTGTATGTGCTTTTGCACCACTGTCAACGCATATCATGTCCTTAGTCTTGAGCACTTAACGTGTGATCTGAGAGGGGGACTCGGCTGGTGTCCCCTGAATGGCTCACGGGAAGAGTCTCGTGGTAACACCTGGGGTGGAAAGGGGCTACATCTCGACACCCGCCCCCGATCTCACGACTGAGATCTCGTGACACTTGCAGCGATCTGGACGTCAAACGAAGAGTAACACATTCCTGCGGAGGGAGCTGGTAGGAACGTTGGGTTGCTCGGTCAATGGCCAGGGTCAACGGCGGCACCACGTGGTGTATTCCGCAAATATTCCCGACTGTGAGGGCGGGCACAAGCCGGCGTGAGTAGGTTAAACGTTGAGTTTTATAAGGGCACCACGGGGTGACCAGCCCCTCCCCACCCAGCCCCACCCCACCCACCCCCCACCCAGCCCCACCCTCCCCACCCAGCCCCTCCCCACCCTCCCCACCCAGCCCCACCCCACCCCTCCCCACCCTCCCCTCCCCACCCCTCCCCACCCTCCCCACCCAGCCCCACCCCACCCACCCCCCACCCAGCCCCACCCTCCCCACCCCTCCCCACCCTCCCCACCCAGCCCCACCCCTCCCACCCCCCACCCAGCCCCACCCTCCTCACCCAGCCCCACCCCTCCCATTTTTGGATGCACGACAGACGGACGGACACAATAATCCCCTGTGGGCTGGTGGGACCAGGAGGTTCCTACCAGTATAAAGTCTCTCGAAGCCGGACCGATTGTGGGGGGAGGGGGGGGGGGTTTCTCGTCGTAGGTGATGTCCGACAATAAAAACGTGTTTATGGAAATACGTGTTTATGGGTTTTACAAATTACCCACATCAGGTGCGGTTATTTGGGCGCCAAGGCAAGCAGTAGGTCACATTGGGCTCTCTCGCTACCTGAGTATCCTCGAAAATGGAGGCGACACGCTGTAATCTTAAGAGGAATATTCAGGGGAAAGGCGTAGGGAGGGAGTGGTGGTGTGTTGGGCGCTTCAGTGGCGCGACATTCCCCCCAAGTGCCCCGCGTTGTTTCGTGAACGCGAATCCGTTGTGGGTCGCTGCTGCTGCTGCTGCCGCAGCCACCGCGGCCGCTTCCCGAAGGCCACTGGGTCCTACAGGGCCAGGCACGGTGCAGGGAAGATGTTCACCACCACGTGAACGGTCTGCGCGCCTCTCACAGCTGCCGGTGGGTTGACTTGACGCCTTTTGGTTTGAGCTACGACCTCCTCGGCGGTGTGTGAATAAAATAATATTGTACCCGCGTTTGTTCTCTGCCAATGCCCCCCCCCCACCTCCATCGCCTTGTAAAAACGCGCCCTTGCCATGCGACTTGCATGCTTCGCGCTATCAGCCGCGGATGTCGGCGGTATTTGGGGAAAAAAATAGCTTCTTGAGCTCAAAGGGTCGTCATTGTCTGAAATCAGCGGCCCTGGTCCAACAAATGCCTCCCCCCCCCAACACACACCGTTGCTCACACAGCACGGTCTCGAGCTACACGAGTTGCAAATGCTGCGGCGCGAGTTGTGTGTTTGCTGGAGCGTTGCAATAGTTTAAGGTGAGCGGCGGAGAGCAAGACCTCTTCTTGAGTTGTGTCGATGTTGTATGTTTGCGTGCGCAATCACTGGCAAAGCAGCAGCACAACTTTGCTCGCTTTGTGAATAGGGGCTGCGATCCCAGCCCCGGCACACCGCAGTGCGATTGCGTCAACGATCGCGCGGGGCGATTCTGATCGCGACGAGGTGGGTCCCTCACCACCCGGAGCCACGCCACCTCGGGTTTCTGAATGGGAAGAAGCCCCCCTGGTTGGGGTCAGGGTGTGGGGCCCACAGCGAGGGTCCCGGCCCCTCCAGCAGAGGGCGGGGAGGAACGAGAGAGGCCGCATTGAAGGGGTCGGGAGCCCACCAGCCACGCGGTGCAGTTGCGCAAGCGGGAGAGAGATTCGAAGAGGACGCGTCCAGCCGACGGCAGCCTGCACGCCATCTCGACCACTGGAGCTGTCGACAACCTCGAGCATGGAGCCCTCGACCGTCGTGGATGGCCTCCGTGAGAAGGTGCGATGGATGATGGAGCAGTGCGCGCGCGGCCTCGGTTGTAGCTCGGGGTCTCTCGGGACGCGGAGAGAGATGCAGCGTCCACCGCAGAGACAGACGACACGGGGACGTGAAGTGCATAGGCAACGGGAGAGACACGCGGAGACATGCGGAGACAGAGACATGGAACACTCAGAGACACGAAGTGAGACGCACAGACACGCGGAGACAGAGACATGCAACACTCAGAGACACGGAGTGAGACGCACAGACACGCGGAGACAGAGACATGCAACACTCAGAGACACGGAGTGAGACGCACAGACACGCGGATACAGAGACATGGGACACTCAGAGACACGGAGTGAGACACACAGACACGCGGAGACAGAGACATGCAACACTCAGAGACACGGAGTGAGACGCAGGCGGACAGACACCGAAGAGACAGCAGCAGTGGCGGGCGTTGTGCGTTATGCAATCGCTCACAGCACAACACTCACACAGCACAACACTCACACAACACTCACACAGCACAACACCCACACAGCACAACACTCACACAGCACAACGCTCACACAGCACAACACTCACACAGCACAACACTCACACAACACTCACACAGCACAACACTCACGCAGCACAACACTCACACAACACTTACACAGTACAACACTCACACAACACTCACACAGCACAACACCCACACAGCACAACACTCACACAGCACAACGCTCACACAGCACAACACTCACACAGCACAACACTCACACAACACTCACACAGCACAACACTCACGCAGCACAACACTCACACAACACTTACACAGTACAACACTCACACAACACTCACACAGCACAACACTCACACAACACTCACACAACACTTACACAGCACAACACTCACACAACACAACACTCACACAACACTCACACAGCACAACACTCGCACAACACTCACACAACACTTACACAGTACAACACTCACACAACACTCACACAACACAACACTCACACAACACTCACACAACACTTACACAGCACAACACTCACACAACACTCACACAGCACAACACTCACACAGGATCCACACTCTCACAGCATTCACCGCTGAATTGGTTCTGTGTGTATGTTGGCGCACTGGGCGAGAGGCGTCACTGTACTAATCCGCGACAGTAATCCACGCCGCGTGTTTACAAGAGATAAGTACCGAGCCAGCTGAAACACTGACCCCTCACCTCCATGACCCCTCACCTCCCTGAGCCCTCACCTCCCTGACCCCTCACCTCCCTGACCCCTCACCTCCCTGACTCCTCACCTCCCTGACCCCTCACCTCCATGATCCCTCACCTCCCTGACCCCTCACCTCCCTGACTCACCTCCCTGACCCCTCACCTCCATGACCCCTCACCTCCATGACCCCTCACCTCCCTGACCCCTCACCTCCCTGACCCCTCACCTCCCTGACCCCTCACCTCCATGACCCCTCACCTCCCTGACTCCTCACCTCCCTGACCCCTCACCTCCATGACCCCTCACCTCCCTGACTCCTCACCTCCCCGACCCCTCACCTCCCTGACCCCTCACCTCCCTGACCCCTCACCTCCATGACCCCTCACCTCCATGACCCCTCACCTCCATGAGCCCTCACCTCCCTGACCCCTCACCTCCCTGACCCCTCACCTCCCTGACTCCTCACCTCCCTGACCCCTCACCTCCATGATCCCTCACCTCCCTGACCCCTCACCTCCCTGACTCCTCACCTCCCTGACCCCTCACCTCCATGACCCCTCACCTCCCTGACCCCTCACCTCCCTGACCCCTCACCTCCCTGACCCCTCACCTCCCTGACCCCTCACCTCCATGACCCCTCACCTCCCTGACTCCTCACCTCCCTGACTCCTCACCTCCATGACCCCTCACCTCCCTGACTCCTCACCTCCCCGACCCCTCACCTCCCTGACCCCTCACCTCCCTGACCCCTCACCTCCATGACTCCTCACCTCCCTGACCCCTCACCTTCCTGACCCCTCACCTCCCTGACTCCTCACCTCCCTGACTCCTCACCTCCCCGACCCCTCACCTCCCTGACCCCTCACCTCCATGACCCCTCACCTCCCTGACCCCTCACCTCCCTGACCCCTCACCTCCATGACCCCTCACCTCCCTGACTCCTCACCTCCCTGACCCCTCACCTCTCTGACTCCTCACCTCCCCGACCCCTCACCTCCCTGACCCCTCACCTCCCTGACCCCTGACCTCCCTAACCCCTCACCTCCCTGACTTCTCACCTCCCTGACTCCTCACCTCCCTGACCCCTCACCTCCCTGACTCCTTACATCCCTGACCCTTCACCTCCCTGACCCCTCACCTCCCTGACCCCTCACCTCCCTGACATTACACCTCCCTACCTCTTCATCTCCCTGACTCCTCACCTCCCTGCCCATTCACCTCACTGACCCCTCACTTTCCTGACCCCTCACCTCCCTGACCTCTCACCTCCCTAACCCCTCAACTCCCTGACCCCTCACCTTCCTGCCTCTTCACCTCCCTGACTCCTCACCTCCCTGACCCCTCATATCCCTAACCCCACGCCTCCAAGGACCTTCTGAAAATTCCCACACCCAGAGCTCTTCACCCTGGTTGCATAGCAGTCCTACATGGACCGCCCTAACCCTGCCCCTAGATGTCCTCCTCCTGGCAGTGTTTCGATCGACCACATCACGTCGGCCCTGTCGATTGATCCTGGGAGGGACTGAACGGCGCTCGAAAGCAGCATTCCTCTGCAGGTTAAACTTTGCAGTCTCGAGAGATCACCGAGTGATAGCACACTTGATTTGAAGCTGTTGATTAGACAGTGTGTTTGTGTGTGCCCTATTGGACGGGAGTGTCGGTGTGTAAATGAACTTCCCTGTTCTAGATTTAAAGCTTTCGTGACTGCAAGGATCCATACTCTTTGGTTCTATTCGGTAAAGTCACGTGACTTTACCGAATAGAACCAAAGAGTATGAACTTCCCTGTGTAGATGTGCCGTGTGTTGTGTGTGCTGGTATGTGGTCGGGTGGATCAGAGCGCTGAGCTCGCGATGTCGAAATCCTTGCTTGGTATCCTGTTTACAAGCCTGGTGACTGCCCAAAAACAACCCATCACATGCGAATTGTTTCTGTACTTAATTTGGCTAAATTATAGCTCTGAGAATCTAAATATACTTTTGACCATCATGCGATGAACATTACTTTCAGTGGCGGGAGGGGAGGATGGCGGTGGAACAGAATTCGCTTGAATATATCTCAGAGGTAACTCTGCGATATCCACTTCTGTGGGCCATTCTCCAACATGAAGGGTTTCCCTGGGAAATATCCGAGTGGATTTTTTGTCTAATTTCACGAAACCGGTCGCAAAATCGGGATCGGTTTTGTCATTAATCTAGACAACGGCCTACAGCAGACAGCATGGTTATTGCACTCGTATCATTAATCAGGGCGGCCGCTGGAATATAACCCCGAACCTCTGCAACATGTCACCACCTCTGTTGTAACCAGGTGTGTGGTTGTAGCCAGGTGTGTTCCCTGTGGGTGTGGAGTGCGGGCGAGTGTGGGGAGTGGTAGTGTAATAGCGCTACGCTGCGCTATGAACCCGGCGACCGGAGTTCGATTCCCGCTCACGGCCACCACCAGTGACGATTATCTGAACTGGTCCTGGGCCTCCCCTAGATCGACTCAGCCTTAAATGAGTACCTGGTGCGGTGTGTAAAAATCGCCACTAGAGAGACAAAGGCGGCCGGGCACGGTGCTGCCATGGCGGCCTTCGTTGGTGCTCGCCAACAGCATTTGCCCCAAAAGTCTGTTAATGCCATACGGAGCATCTGTCTGAAATGTGTGTGCGCGAGAGAGCAGCTGGTGCAGGATGGCTACGCGGTGGTGGAGGGTTTCTTGAGTGCGGCGGAGTGTGAGGCGCTGCGCGTGCGTGCCGCCCAGCTTGTCGTCTCGGCACAGGTGCCCCCGGAGTGCCGCGTGGAGTTCACCACGGAGGAAGAGGAGCAGGTGCACGCGCAGGTGGGTTCCGTCTGACGCCGCATGGACACACGGACAAAGATTCCCTGCGCAGCCTTTGACAGACTGTTGGGGCAAGCGCTGTTAGCGAGTCGCATCGATGAAAGCCGACACGAGGAGGTGGGTGGCCAGCACCTGTCTCCCCAGTGCTGATGTTTAATACACACTATAGCAGGTACCCATTTTAGGCTGAGTCGACCTTGAGGAGGCCCAGGACCAGTTCATATATTCATCACCGATGTTGACCATGAGCGGGAATCGAACTCGATTCTCTGGGTTCGGAGCGCAGTGCGCTGCTAACCACTGTGCCACCGCTCCCCACACAAACATGCACACTCGTGTCCACACTTATATAAACATGTACACTTGCCCAGCATACCAACATATGCACTTATGCGCGCGCACAGGCACGCAAGGCACACACACACACACGTTTATACTGTTACCCTCCGACTCTCTGAGTTGTATTACCCTGTTGGATGCCCTTGCATCAACGGGCTGGGGTATCACTGACATGGCCTCCTTTTGCTCCCTTGGCCTGGATGTTTCGATGGCTCTTGCTGCTTCATGGGCTGTTTTGTCTTACTGGCTCAGCTATCATAACCCCGTTACGGGCTTTCCTCTCACAGCGTGGCAGCCAACGCTGCAGGATCCTGTACCATTGACATGCTAATTGTCTCACATTAGCATCACTAACCCAGCTTCTCTCTACCTTCCATCTATTACCTGTGCCCAACTCCCCCCCTCCCTCCCTCCTTGCCTCCCCCCCGTCTCACAGCGCAGCAGTCAACGCTGCAGCATCCTGTACCATTGACATGCTAATTGTCTCACATTAGCATCACTAACCCAGCTTCTCTCTACCTTCCATCTATTACCTGTGCCCAATTCCCCCCCTCCCTCCTTGCCTCCCCCTGTCTCACAGCGCAGCAGTCAACGCTGCAGCATCCTGTACCATGGACATGCTAATTGTCTCACATTAGCATCACTAACCCAGCTTCTCTCTACCTTCCATCTATTACCTGTGCCCAACTCCCCCCCTCCCTCCTTGCCTCCCCCTGTCTCACAGCGCAGCAGTCAACGCTGCAGCATCCTGTACCATTGACATGCTAATTGTCTCACATGAGCATCACTAACCCAGCTTCTCTCTACCTTCCATCTATTACCTGTGCCCAACTCCCCCCCTCCCTCCTTGCCTCCCCCTGTCTCACAGCGCAGCAGTCAACGCTGCAGCATCCTGTACCATGGACATGCTAATTGTCTCACATGAGCATCACTAACCCAGCTTCTCTCTACCTTCCATCTATTACCTGTGCCCAACTCCCCCCCTCCCTCCCTCCTTGCCTCCCCCCTGTCTCACAGCGCAGCAGTCAACGCTGCAGCATCCTGTACCATTGACATGCTAATTGTCTCACATTAGCATCACTTTTGTCGTGCTCGTGCCTTGCTCCTGCTCGCCCTGTAATCCCTCGAGCTTGCAGCACTCCCCCCCCCCCCTCTCTATCTCTCCTCCCTGGTTCCTCCCCCTCTCTTACCTGTATAGTCCTTTTTTCCCACTTCAGTAATTGTTTCTTGCTGTGGTTGTCCCACCTGATGACAGACGCTTGTGTTGCGCCCGAAACGTCGTGATTTATTTTATTTCTACCTACGTGACTTTACCGAAAGAACCAAAGAGTAGACACACGTTCTTACAGAAACGTACGCACACCTCGTGGGTGCAGTCCCTCTCTCTGAAATATTGTGATTTTGTGATTATCTTTCAACAGGGAAACGCCGATTACTTCATGACCAGTGGAGACAAGATACGCTTCTTCTTTGAGAAGGGCGTCTTCAGCCGGGACGGTGAGGGTGGATTCCATGGGTTTCACCATTTGTCTTGATCGTCATCGGTCACTGATTGTCACCGATTGGCCATCCCTCGTGAGGGCCGCTCTCTGCTATTGCCTCCTATATAGAGTCCACTACAATCGCAGCCGCCAGATTGTAAGGGCAGTTTCTGTACTCGGGCCCTGCGTCATCCGGAAAGGAACTCTCGGAAAAAAGAACCCTCTCGGCATGGGGCCCCCGGGGAACGGCTTGCAGCCAGCGAGCCTCCGGTGTCTGAGCCTACCGTGTGTGCGCGAATGCCCACCACGTGGGAGTGCGAGTGAAGGAGAAGGGTTGTGGGTGTGCGGGGTCAGTCCGCGGGCTATTCTGGCAAAGAAACTGGTCAGGGGTTGCAGGGCGGAGCGGCTCCAGAGGGGGCTTGTCGGGGGCAGGGAGGACGCCTCCTGCTCACGGTCTGGCTCGACTTTGTTCCGCCACTGCCTGTGGCCACTGTTGCCTCTCTCGCCATTATGAACGTACCCGCGGTTTCTGTGCAGCGTCTCGAGATATGGTCGCACGTAGACGCGGCTGCATACATCTGCCTTGTATTGCAGATGCGTTGCATTGCATTACGGTCGCACTGTGTAGCTGTCGTGAGAGGCGGAGATGACTCGAGGCATTGGGCATGGGTTTGCTTATTTCCAGGCGACTTCCTGGTGTCCAAGGAGCTCGCCATCAACAAGATCGGCCACGGTGGGGCGCGCGGCCAGCCATGACGCTACCGCTTCCCTCGATCGCGACTCTGCACCTTCACTGCCCTCATCCAAGCACTGCAGTTCGCGTGTGCCCGAGTTGTTGCACCACCACCACCATCCTGCCACTAACACTGCTCCCACTTAGAATAATTACCACCAAATTACGCAGTGTAATATACACACCTCCGATTATCTCAGTTGGCTACGTACGGTGTGAAAGACGTTCAACATACATACATGGCGATCATCGCCCGCTCCTGCAAAAACTTGGCACGACCATTGCCGAAAAAATGGTTATGAGACTCGGCGAGGCTGTCCGAGGTAAACAAGCGTAAATAAAGTCAAATAAGCCATCCTGCCACCAGCATTACCACCACCACCAGCATCATCAGCAGTCTTGCCACTCCAGGACTACCACTACAGCTACTGTCACCACCAACAATGATTACCGGCATCATTAACCACCACCGCAGCTTCTACGACCGCCGGCACTACCGCCGTCACCTCCACTACGACTCGCGGCACCTTCGTTCCAGGAGGAGTGTAGTGTTGTGGAGCTTACAGAGACTTTCTCTCCACACCGCTGTGTGCAGCCTTACACGCCCTGGACCCGGTGTTCAGAGATGTCACGTTCAGCACGAAGGTGAAGGTGAGCACTGTTCTCTCGCCTAACGTGACCAGGTCTGGATTTCTCACCTAATATTTTCACTGGTAGACCGGAGACGGCACCGATTAGTTTCCAGAATCATAGCGAGCGGTATACTGGATGTGGTGTGCCGGATGGGGATATATTTTCCGGGGCATTGACCAAGACACACCTGGCTGAAATCAAGGCCTGGATATATCATCACCGTCATCATCATCATCAGCATCGCCTGTGTATTGTTTTGGTTTATGTGTGGTTGCTGTTTGAGACTTGGCGTTTATTTAATTTCATGTTTCCATAATAATTTTTGTGATTTAAATGTTTAATATTGTGTGCACTCTGGCACCTGTTTTTTTGTACGATTAACCCATTTGTCCTCAGCTCCACTTAAAAAAACATCGGATTATAAATAAAGACAATCTCACATCATCATCACTGTTATCAAATACGCACAGGGTTGTGTTTGTTTGGCTTTGTCACCTGCCATGATCACATCCATTCTTGCAGGAAGTGGCACGGAAGGCCGGCCTGCAGGAGCCTGTGGTCGTGCAGAGCATGTACATCTTCAAGGTGAGCAGCACACCAGGAACACAGCAGCACACCAGGAACACAGCAGCACACCAGCGACACAGCAGCACACCAGGGACACAGCAGCACACCAGCGACACAGCAGCACACCAGGGACACAGCAGCACACCAGCGACACAGCAGCACACCAGGGACACAGCAGCACACCAGCGACACAGCAGCACACCAGCGACACAGCAGCACACCAGCGACACAGCAGCACACCAGCGACACAGCAGCACACCAGCGACACAGCAGCACATCAGCGACACAGCAGCACACCAGCGACACAGCAGCACACCAGGGACACAGCAGCACACCAGCGACACAGCAGCACACCAGGGACACAGCAGCACACCAGGGACACAGCATCACACCAGCGACACAGCAGCACACCAGCGACACAGCAGCACACCAGCGACACAGCAGCACACCAGGGACACAGAAGCACACCAGCGACACAGCAGCACACCAGGGAAACAGCAGCACACCAGGGAAACAGCAGCACACCAGCGACACAGCAGCACACCAGGGACACAGCAGCACACCAGCGAAACAGCAGCACACCAGCGACACAGCAGTACACCAGGGACACAGAAGCACACCAGCGACACAGCAGCACACCAGGGACACAGAAGCACACTAAAGACACATCAGCACCCTTGGTGTGCTTTTGTGTTCCTAGTGTGCTGTTGTGTCCCTGAAACACAACACATATATATACATAAAACCCCACGATTAAATATATATTGGAAAACGCCTCAGTAAATGCAGTCTGATGTGCCCAGATATGTTGGAGCAGTGGTTGCAATAGCTCGCTGCATAAATCCACATTGTATCGCATTGTTTAGTGTGCACATCCGTCTTGTGTCCTTGCAGCAACCGGGGATTGGAGGAGAAGGTGAGATCACTGGTGACACCCACCGCGACTGCTCGGCACTCTGCACCCCCGAAGTGGCAACTTCTGTCCAGCTCTCCGATGTGTTTTTGAGTTGTAACGGCAGTTCCTGAAAATTATTTCAGCACACGTGTAATGGAATTTCAGACTCACTGAGCTATATAGCTCTTTTTCAGAAGCGACCTGGCCACAAATGATAGCTCAATTAAGTAGCTTATAATGTGTAAATGTGTAGCATCCAAATACTCTACACGCATGTTTGTCAATGTGGAGGGAAAACCAGAGGACTCGTGGTCATGAGGAAAAAACCACATGACCACGGGGAGAACATGCAAACTCCAAATATACAGGGATCAGGGTTGGAATCGACCCCACGACCTCCTGTATACCAGTCAACATCTCGCAACCGTGGCGCCAAATGGCTCACGGTGCAACCCGAGCACCGTGTCAAATTTCTCCGGCATAATTGCAGAGGCCTGCGCAGTGGTGTCCCGCTTCCCTGTCCGGCACCCCTTGGTGATCGCGACCCTTGGGGGCTCAACCACTTCTGCTCTTGCTGCCTCGTTGCGTCAATGCCGCCGCCCAAGTTCTCTTCTGTTCCGCTCTTCTTCATCTGCGATCCGTCTCTGCTCCTTCTTGGCCCGACTGCAGCCACTGCCGTGCGGGATCGGGGAGCGGCGCCAGCCGAGCGGTTTGAACACCGCCCGGACGTTGTTGTTGGTCGCGCCGTCTGGGGCGATGGCAGCCGCGGGTCGCTGTGTGCCGGCGTTGGTTAACGCGTGCGTTTATAGCGTTCTGTTGAAATGTTCTGTCAGCATGGACAGCTGGTAAATGGTGGCTGATGGTGGTAATGGTGATAAAAAAACATAGTGATGGTGGCGACGAATTGTGATTTTAACAAAGTATCCCAATTCTAATTTCGCTATTGCTGCTTGTGGTTGTGTTGGTGGTAGTGCGTGCATGGCACGTTGTGAGTGGATCCAGAGATTAACTTCTCGGTGAATGTTTTCAAGGTCGATGGTAGACTGGGCTACGTGACCGCTAGTAGCCAGAGCCATCGCGAGAGGAATACTGGATGTGGCCTGCCGGGTGCAATTGAGCCCTGAGTGGAGTGGTGTGCTGCAGTGACGCCGCACCAGGACGCGTCGTTCCTGCACACGGAGCCACTGGGCCGCGTGCTCGGGTTCTGGGTGGCGCTGGAGGACGCGGATCTGGACAACGGCTGCCTCTGGTTCCTGCCCGGGTCTCACCGGGGTGAGTGCCAGCCCCCACCTCCCTCATTTAGATAGGCGCGTGCGTGTATTCGTATGTGTGTGTGTAGCGGTCGTGTGTCTGGAGAACCGAGTTCGATTCCCGCTCGCGGCTAACACCACTGACGATTATCTGAACCGGTCTTCGGCCTCCTCTAGGTTGACACACCCATAAATGAGTACCTGGTGTGATTGTGTAAACATCGCTATCAAGGTAGACAAAGGTGGCCGAGCGTGTGCGGTGACGGCCTTTATAAGTGCTCGCTCACAGGACTTACCCAAAATGTCTGTTGAGTCTATACGGGGTATTTTTGTTTTGTGTGTGTTGGTGCAGAGGGGGTGTCGCGGCGGCTGGTTCGCCGGCCCGATGGAGAGTTCCCCCGCACGGGGTTCGAGGGCTCGGAGCCCCCCTACCCTGACGAGGGGTTCGTGGCAGTGCCCGTAAAACAGGGTAACCACGTGTGTGTGCACGTGTGTACACGCATGTGCTTGTTCTACATAGGTGCGCGCGTATACGGATGTGTATACATACGTGTGTGCGTACACTACGTGCGTGTACATGCGCGTACATGTGCGGCCTGCAGGGGGTCTGGTTCTCATCCATGGTGAAGTCGTCCACCGCAGCTCGGCCAATCGGTCTCCTCGCTCGCGCCACGCCTATACCTTCCACCTCATGGAGGCGCGCGGCTCACAGTGGAGCACACGCAACTGGTGCGACGCCGGCTCCACGCCCCCCCCCCCCCACTGACCTCGCCTCCTACACGCCACGAGCCTCCTGCGACTCACGCACCGCTCCTCTCCATCACACGTGCCACTCACCTCACCATCTAAGTCGCACACACCACTCGCACGCCCGTACCTTGCCTCCCTACAACACGCACGCACGCACACACACCACTTACATCTCACACAGCCTTACTCGCACCCCTCTCTCACACGGGGTGCGCTGTGTTTAGGCTACAGCCCACGAGTGCGCTTCCCTTCCCTCACCTCTACTGAGTCGGCGCTGCAGGCGGGCGCTCGGAAGATGGCGTCTGCCGCTGCCCCGACGTCACCGGCCCCGACGTCCCGTCGACGAGCCCCGGACACTCTCTCTCTCTTTCTCTCATCAATAAACGGAGCTGGAACATCCAAGAGGCAGTGCGTTGAACGTCTGTGGCAGCCCGACTTGCGTGTAGGGGACCCGTGTCACGGGGATGCCGTTGGGCCGAGTCAGGGCAACCCGTCGACCCAACTCAGGCGACTCGAAGGGCGCTCTATGCATTGCTTTTTCCTCCCCCTTGGCACAAGCGACTGAGAAATAGGCAAATCATTAAAACTGGATCGGGTTTCGCCCCAATATCACACACACGCTAACACACACGGGAAAAGACATTTATTATGAAATGATAAACTTAAAAGCCTGACTATTTGAAAAGGGAATGCCACATTTTGAAAATGTTCCTAGAATCTTGCTGACCCACCCCTACTGGAGATTTGTGAAAAATAGCTTCTTAGCTCATCAGATTCCTCCAGGATAAATATTCTGACTCCCGGGCAGAGTGTGGAGGTCGGTGGACGGGGGCCTTGTCGAGAGATCGTTGGTGTCCTCTAGTAGCCAAACTTTTCGTTGAGATGAGTCCGCCCATCGCCGGTCTGGCCTGAAATGGTATCCAGCAGCAGCAAGCATGGAAAATGAGACCAAAGAAATACGCTGCACGGGGTTACACGTGGCACGGAGCATGCCGCACTACCGCAAACCACACCTGTCGCACGCATCAAGGGCATCCACGCACCGGTAAACTTACCTGTTTCCCCACACACCTATAAACTTGCAGAGCAATACACCCCTACACCTGCAAGCTCACTAATCTATACACACCCACACCTGACAGCTCTCCTACCTACAAGCACCCACACCTCTGCCATTCACGTACCTGTAGGAGGGACCCACACGTGGTAGTCGGGGTCGTTTTGGGGGTAGGCGGTCCCTGCGTCGGTGCCCTGGCGATGGGAAAGGGGGTTAGGTGTTGGTGTTAAAGAGTCCAGATTTGAAACACCTCTCACCACACTGCGCAACCACAACTCAACACTTGCAGCACTCGGCTCCCCCCACTTGACACATCACACCGATCACATTCGCCACCTCCCTGACACGCCCAGAGCAAACACCGGCATACGAATGCTGCAAAAATTCACACACTTGCCTTCTTATGGCCGTATGACTTCCTCCTCTTTGTTGGTGCCTTCTCAGAGGTAGCGGCAGGTTCATCCGATGATGTTGTGGAGCTGGGGGGCTCATTCGCCGGCTTGGACAAGCCGAGGGGGCCATGCATCCGCTTGGCTGTGCTGGAGGGCGCGTCTGTTAGCGTGGAGGAGCTGCGGGGCTCATAAGTTTGCTTAGAGTGGCTTGGGGTCATATCAGTTGGCTTGGCGGAGCTGGGGGGTCCGTCCGTTGCTGTAGAGGAGCTGGGGAGCTCGTATGTCTGTTTGGAGGAGCTTGGGGGACCTTGTGTTGACGTGGAGGAGCTGGGGGGCCCATCGCGCTGTGTGCTTGAGGGGTGATCATCTGTGGTTGAGAGGGAGGGCGACCGGGTCACCAGAAACAGCAGCACAGGAAATTTAGCAGAATCCACAACCTCGCAGAAAGCAAAGCGTTTCGCTAATTAGGCACAGCACAGCCCCACTCTACCCTGCACGGTGGGGGCCCTCACTGTGAGCCGGTCTCCCTTGGGTCCCCGCCTCCTTCCTCTTGTCTCCACCAGGTGCAAAACGTGCCCCCGCCGCCCCTGCCCTCTCCTCCTCGTCTTCCTCCTCCTCCTCATCCTCCTCATCCTCCTCCTCGGGCGCGGCGGATTTGGTGTTGAACAAGCTGCTGGGCAGCACCGGGCGCTTCACAGGGAGGCCCTGGTGAGAGCAAGTCCCCGATGTTGAGAACCCAAACACACGGCTGGATGGTGCAGAATAAAGGATTGTGGGCACAAGCGGTACGACGGTCGGGGGCCACTCACCCCGATAGCGCCCGTCTTGAGCCTCAGTCGGCTGCCTCCTCGCATAGCGCCTGTGAGTGGCAGCATCTTCTTGGGCTTGTCCCCAGCTGCTCCCTTGCTGTCCACCCCCTGCCTGTGGAATGAAAGATTATATCAAATGAAGTAAAATCGTGAGTACGTTAGTATTCGCGCCAATCTTGCAGCAGACCTGTTTGACAGTCTGCAGTAGTTTCACAGTAGACAACAATGTTGGGATTTACCCTGACCTTGTAAACTCAACCCTAATACACAAACACCGATGCCCACATTAACACCATCCCCATCGCTAACGAGCACCTCGAACGGTAACCACAATGCGAACGGTAAAATATTTCTAAGCACTCTTGGCTCCGGCTCTTATGCTGCCGCTTCACGTTCTCCCACCGTCGCCGTGAGCACCGCCAGAACCAACACGGGAGGACTCACGGGGGCAGCAGCGGGGGCAGCGCCGCGGGCCGCGCCACGGATGCCAGTCGCCGCAGCCTCTGCTGCTCCTTGCGCAGCTCAAAGGCGCGCACACGCATCCGCTTCCGCTGGGCGCTGTCGAGGGTGGCGCCCGCACGCACCTCGCTCATGTAGGCGTCCAGCGAGTCCTCGGCCTGCGCCTCGCGCGCCGCCGCTGTGCAGTCGGGCATGGATATGGAGCAGGGCACGAGCAGCACACATGTCATGAGTGACGATGCATGTGCTCGCACAGGTGGATAGAGGTTCGTACAAGTGTGCGTGGGAGTGTACGGGTGTATAGAGGTAAAAAAGGATGTGTACAGCTTTTTACGAGCGTGTACGGGTGAGCGTGTACAGTTGAGCGCGCGCAGGTGTGAATGGGTGCGTACAGGTGAGTGCAGCAGCCCTGAATATCCCACAGCAGGCAAGGTGTGCCAATATCGGTGAGTCCGTCCTCCCGTGCCACCCCTCCCCCCCACTGCCCCCACCCACCCCACCTCACTGACCTTCAGCGGCAACCTTGAGCTGCCTGTCCACGTCCTCCAGCTCTCGCTCCACCTCGCCCAGCTTGGCTACCTGTAGCGCACGTCGTCCCGTAACAGCGAAGGGAATAACCCATCGGGTAAGGAATTGCTTGCGCCGCCGGGGGGTGTGGGCGCTCGACGGTCGGGGCGGCGGTACTTATCGCGTCCGTGCGTGCGCTCTCACCAGGGAGTCGTAGGTCTCGGCACGATCCTGCACCCTGCCGGCCTTGCGCATGCGCTCTCTGCGCTTGTACTCCACCACGCCGGTGCGGTCCAGGAAGGAGTCATCGTCGCTGTCGTAATAATCCGCCTCCTCCCAGTCCTTGGACTTCCGCTTGCGGCTCACTGCGGCACGGCAGCATCAAGCGCACATCTCAGGCTTGCGTCTCGCGCATCACTGCATCTCACCTGTTGTAACTCGCTCGTCAAAAGATGTCACTCGCTTCTTACAAGACACCTCTGAAATGTCACCGATTAGATATTGGACATCATCTAACCCATCACATCCCACCTATTAAAAGCCGCAATTCACATCCGTGCCCATCACCTCCTATCCATCATATCAAACCACGCTCATCACATCTCACCCATTTCAGCCAATTTCCCCAAATTCAGACCGCGTTTGTACGTGCAAGCACGCGTGCGTACGTGTGCGCACATATGCGTACGTGCGTACCGGCCTCCTGGCGCAGCATGCCGCGGGCGTCCAACATTCGGCACGCCTCCAGCGCGCACTGGACCACCGCATCCTTCTTCTTCCCCGTGGTCACGACCTCAGCCATCACCTCGTGGCCGCTCGCGTCCTCCACAGGGAGGCTGGGGCAGAGTGGCACGACACCGCGTCACCATGCACCCTGCACGGCAGTTGTCGCTAACCGCTCTCCCTCTCTTGTTCTCTCTCTCTCTCTCAATCCCTCTCTTTTGTTCTTCTTTCACTCTCACCCGTTCGTTAATTCGCTCTCTCGCTCTCTGGATGATCGGGGGAGGAAACTGCTAAGGTGGGGAAGCGATCGTGGTGCTTACCTGACGCGGCACAGCCAGCTCCCGTGGGCTTGCTGGTCGAACTCGTACTCCAGCTCCAAACCTGACACACGTGCGGTGCACGAGCGGTGCGTGAGTTAGGCTGGGGGTTTTTGAGTTTATATCAAGATTAACCATTTAGGTTGGGGCTCATGTTTATGGCTTGTGTTAGGGGTTGGGTTACATGTTGGGATAGGGTTAATGTTATGGCTTGAGCGATGGCTAAGGTTATGGTTGGAATTCATGTTATAGCTAAAAGTTTAAGAGTGGGGTTAGGGTCAAGAGCACAACCCACACCTTCACGGTCAAAGAATCCCTTCAAGGCCTTTTTGGGGTCCTTCACGTAGAAAGCCTCCTTCTCTTCTAGGAATCCAGCAGCAAACGGGTTCTCCTCCTCCTCTTCCTTCTCCTCTTCCTCCTCGTCCGCGTCATCCATGTCTGGAGGTAGATAGGGGGGCGGGTATCAGGATAATTACGTGAAAAGAGAAAGACAATTATGATTGTGATCCTAAAGCCCCAACGTTATTCCCTGAGTTGTTACTATATCGGTCGCTCGGCTCTCCCCCAATAGACGCACGTACACTGGGCTTCATTTCTCATAGCAATCTCCGGGTCGCTGGTAGATTGGAGTAGGTGGCACACAACTGCTAGTAGCCGGCACACAACTGCTAGTAGCCACAGCCATATCAAGACGTATGATGGATGTGGTGCGTCTGGCATGGAAATATTTTTCCGCGTTTGCCGAGCCGGAAAAACCCAGTTGAAGTTAAGATCTGGGCTTAACTAATAATCATCGTCGCTTTAACTTTGTGTTGGTTTGTTTACATTTAGCACGGTTGGCTACGTACGGTGCGAAAGAAGGTCAGCATACATACATTTGGATCACGTGTAAAATGCTTATTTTAATAATAAAAATTTTAAAAGCTGTGCACGCACCCATGCCCCACGTGCAGCCAGCGTATTCCTCGCTGCCGCTGGCTTTGGCTGCAGCGGCCTTGCCTCCGCGCGCCCTCTTCGCGTGGCCTTTGCTCTCTTCGTCCTCGTCTTGATCATCCTCCTCGTCTTCGTCCCCGAGCATGCGCCGCTCGAGCTCCGCACGCTGGCGCCGATTCAGCTCCTGCAGCTCCGTGGGCGTCTCTTCCGCCTCCGCCTCCTCGTCCTCGCTGGGGCCCTGGGCAGAAGGCGACAGAGTCACCCGAGCCGCGGTGCCCGGGACTTCGCGGGAGAAAGTAACGCAATCACAATGACAATGCCCTTTTTTTGTATCCAGCAAAGCCGGACTCTCGAGACTCAGTTCAGCAGAGTTCTGCAGGTCAGCATGGTAGAGGAGTTGGCGGGGGGAGGCATGGTGGGAGGTGGGAGCGCACTAGTGGGGGATGCGCGGCGGGACCGTTTGGGGCGGGGGGATAGGGAAGGGGTGCTAGGGAAGGGGGGGTTAGGGAAGGGGGGAGCTAGGGAAGGGGGGGTGCTAGGGAAGGGGGGGGGGCTAGGGAAGGGGGGGTTAGGGAAGGGGGGGGGGCTAGGGAAGGGGGGGGCTAAGGAAGGGGGGGTTAGGGAAGGGGGGCTAGGGAAGGGGGGTGCTAGGGAAGGGGGGGGGCTAGGGATGGGGGGGGCGGTTGGGTGGTACATTTGCGGTAAGTCCACAGCACTTTGCGCTAATTAGTTGGAACCCCGTGCAGAGTGTCGCCGACTCCCCGGCAACTCCATCCCACCTGCAGCACCAGCAGGCGCGTGCTGCCCCCAAACCGCAGCACGTGTCCCACGCGCACGCGGTGGAAGCGGCGCGGCTCCACGCGCGCCTTGTTGACGAACGAGCCGTGGCTGCTGCCCAGGTCGTACAGGTAGAGTCCGCGCTGCTCGGGCTGCCCGTGCGCGCGGTGCTGCAGCACGGCGTGGCGGCGCGACACGGAGGGGTGCTCCAGCCGCACGGAACACGACTCCAGCCGTCCCACCACGAAGTAGCTGGCGCCCGTGAGCGGCACAGAGCCCACCACGGTGCCGCCCTTGAGCACCTCCAGGCCGAATGGCACGGCCGCCTCGTCCGCCTCGCCGCCCCACGCCGGCTCCGTGTACTCCAGCGGGGGCTCTGCGGGATGCTGCTGCTGCTGCCGCTGGGAGCCGATGTCGGGCCCGCGGGCCGGGCCCCGGCAACTGGGGCCGCTCACTTGCTCCGCCTCCCCCGCGTCGCTCCGCGCCGCTGCGTCTCCCGGAGCCTGGGGCCCAGCGGGGACCGCTTCCACGGGCGGCTTCTTGGCTCTGCGTGGGAGCGGCCCCGACAGCGCAACCGCGGGGAGCAGCGGCTTCTTGAAGCCGCCGCTCTCGCCCTCGGCCTCAGCAGGGGCAGCAGAGGCACCCGGGGACTCCGAGTCAGGGAGCGCGCCTTCTCCCTCTGGGCCTCCACCAGCATCCGTATCTCGCTCGGAGTCCTTTCCCGATGCCCTCTCTCCTCCCTCGGGGTTCCCATTGGGATCTGCACCTCCCTGTGGGCCATTCTCGGGTCCCCTCTCGCCTCCCTCGGGGTCCTCTCGGGGTTCCCGAGCCTCCGGAGTCTCCCGCGCGGCCATGCCCGCCGCGCTCGCCATCGGTGCGGGCCGCGCTACGCGGAGGTGCGAGGTTGGCCGCCGGGCCGCCACCTTGCTAAGGGAGGCGCCGCCGCCGTTCCGCTAGGAGGGGGGGGGGCTGGCGCGTGACGTCACAGGAGGCGGACACGTGGTCTGGGATTGAAACTTCCCTTAGTAAAATGGATACCGGCGACGTTTAGCGAGGACGGCGGCGTGGTGGTGGTGCTGGTGAGGTTCGCGGACTGCGTGCGGGCCAGAGGCGGAATTTGGTTCCGGACTGCGCCAAGAGGCGCGCAGTCGACGAGAGGACGGCAGAGCGGCCAACAGAAGCAATCCCAAGATCCCATATCTGTGAACCCCTTATCAGTGCCCTACCTTATTACAGGCCAATTCAGACCTTGATAATTGTTTTTTACCCTTTTATCTGGCAACAAAACTGACCTTTTTTACGAGGAGTTATGTTTACATTGACCACAATACCTGCGGTCGGACGTAGGTATTGTGGTCAATGTAAACATGACTCCTCGTAAAAAAGGTGTCAGTTTTGTTGCCAGATAAAAGGGTAAAAAAACAATTATATTTTGTTACTGGCAAATGAGGTTTCCAATGGTGTAAATTCAGACCTTATTGGTCACCCCGTGCCCTTATAAATCCCAACGTTCATCCTACAAAGCCCCATCACAAGGGAGAAAGACATTTAATTTTGCCCGTATTGAAATGGCTGTACGCCGTACGGACCTGAAAACTCAATTTCCCTGCAGAATATGGGTAAACCGTATGGGTTGACAGGTATGAGAACCGAGCAAACTGGGGGTGAAGGCCACTACCCAACTCAACACGAGCCCCGAGCACAGCCAACCAGCCACTGTTACCATCCAACCTCCGTTGTATAGTTTCCACGGTTCGTTTCCGGCAGCTGGCCCGATTATTGTTGCTGCAACGGCCACGATACAGGGGGCGTTAAAGACCCCCTACGTCATTGGTGCGAGTTGGCCAATTGTGCCCAAGCACAAAGTTGCCAAATTCGAAAATTACACCGCAGGTTACGGAATGACCTCTGGGCACTCTTGCAAATTCCTGGTTTCTGAGGTTCTCCCTGGTTGAATAGAAATAAACTCGCCATAGCCCCTAATCAACTCGCCAACCAACTATTTGTGCTAGCCATCCCTTATATCACCATATTCCTGCCTCTTTCACCCAGCTTTTCGCTGTGGTTCCAGCACCAACGCGGCAACATTAAGACGTTCAAACCATGTGTGCATTTCACATCTTGGCAAAGGTTAACATCACAAACCACGAGCAGGCTTCACGTGCTCTGAGCAAGTTTATTGTCATCAAAATGCAATTGGAACTCAGCGGTCTGCCACCACGGGTAACGTAAAACAAAATAAACTGCAGCAACTGTGTTAAACGAATCTCAATCCGCGCAAGGAACTCGTATTTACAAAGCACTTAAAAGCAGTGGATGTGAATGACTGCGTGGTTTTAATCACAGCGGTTTAAACATCACGGCAGGTTGAACAAAATCTCAATTTCCCTTCATCAGCCATGATCAGTCCACTTCTGGATGAGGCCTACTAAAGCCATCACCCACCTCTCAAGGTCCTCAATGTAACAATCCATTCTAGCACCTGAACACAAGACTTTATCGCTCCACATCCACAGGGGACGTCCTCTTACGCGTGTTCCCTCCCTTGGCCAGTCACAAACGTTCTTATGTCAACTAAAGGGTAATTTATTTTAGCCGACACCGATTCAGAAAACAAACGGAAGGGAACGTCCTTCAAAACGTTTATACAACAGGCCATGTGCTCTGGATGCAAATTGCCAAATCTGGTCACGTGTTCACAATGTCAGCGCGACCCTAGTTCTACACTCGGTGTACTGTCCTGTTGGTAATGTACTTCGTGCCACTGGCTGCCCAGGTGTAAAGGTGAAGCCAGGCAATATTGACTGCGCATGTACAGTTTTGAAATCTCCGACCAACCTGGCACAGGACCACCTTAACCACGCAATGTGCCAAGAGCACAGGTGCAGAATTCCAATCTCAACTTCCGCAAGGGTGGGCAGGATTGGAAACACTTTGTAACATGGGTTCCCTCGTCCATTTCTACAGCTTCCACCCACATGGATAGTGGTGAGGCTTCCATCCAGTCGGTCACTGTACGGCCCGACCATCCTAAACTCTGTTTCAGAATAGGCGGGAATGATCATGGCGGTAGCGGTTGTGGTCGTGGCGCCGCAGTGGGGAAGATGATCCAAGTGGCGTGGAGGAAGACTTCTGTGTCAGCGTTAGCAGGAGTTTCTGGAGCAGCCACCAACAAGAGAAATGTGGGGTGTGGACTATGGAAGGCACAACCGCACACGATGCTTATCAGGGAGCAGACATGGGCGGTGGGGGGGGAGAGCTAATGAGTGGAGTAGCACCTGTAGCATGGGAGGCCGTGCCAGCCCCTTCACATGATGAACACCTTTTCTATCTGTGAGAAGTTGAACACCTCCTTGGTTCGTGGACATGCCACCTTGTCGCCCTCACGGATGGACACGAGTGACTGTGGGGAAGATGACAAATGACATTGGTCATGACAGCAGCAATACCAGATTCTCAGAATGGCCATTACCACATAGCCAATGACACATTGTATTGTCTAATTTTAAAGCACAATGTAAAGTTGATTATTTTCCAGTAGGCATCATGGATGAAAAAAAGCCCACGCCTTTTTGAAAGCCCATATTTCCAACCCAGCCCCTCACCCATAACAGGTGCTACTCAAACCCAGTAAGTGCCCTGAAGACAGAGAAAGTCTAGATCACACGGCACCCATGCGTTCTCTTATTCCCCACGTTATCGCTGCACACACGAGGCACGGAATCGCAGCAGCAGTGCCTCGGCAGCCGAGCTACGTTGTAACGACCCCACTGCTGCCCTGCCCACACGCACGTTATAGCTGTAGATGTAGCCGTTGGGCAGCATCATGGGTGGGTTGTTCTCGTTCATGACTTGGCCGGACACACGGCACACGAGGCGCGAGTTGGCGCAGTGCGCCATGGGCAGCGGCGTCGCCAATTTGTTGAGCGAGCGGCAGCACACAGGGCACTCGGCATTGCGGGCTGAGCCATCCTCTTTGTAACACTGCCTGTGGCGTCGTCAAGGAGCATCCCAGCAAAAGCAGCTCATGGCTTCAGTTTGGGGAGATGAAATACTCCAAACTCGGGTGATAGCAAGTTCAGGGTAATATAGTAAATGTGATGCAATAGCAGTGCCTTCATTATCGCCGCTTTTCTCCGCAAAACAGGCGCATGCAGAACGAATAGCTTCTCCGGATAACTAGTCTGGTGGGAGCACAGCACGAGCTAAGGAGCTAGTTTCCTCCGAAAACGAATTTCAAGAGCCATCATTTTGTCCCATCACAAGCCCACCCAGTCACAGACATCGAGGAGTTGGCAGGAGAGGCAGGGTGGTGGGTATGCACAGGCGGACGTGCGTCCATATAGAGTAGCGCCTGTTAAACGTGGGCAAGTGCGAGAGCCAAGGATACGGAGTCTTGATGGCTGAGAGGCCACACTGCAGGGTGACCGTGAACACCGAGTCATTGCTGAGCTGGTGCAGGCGGTAGTTGTCGTAGCGGAACTGCTGAATCAAGATCTTCCAGCGCGACGGATCCAGCAGCTCCTGTGGAGCCAGACGCAAACGGTTCAGAGCACGAGGTGTGACTGTGCCGATTCGCACCACCGGCTGACAAGAATGTGGACGCTGGGTGTGCCATTATGTGTGTGCATGCAATCTGCGAAGGCTGTATGTGTGCAAGCCCTGAGTAGACTGTGCCGTATTAACGGTTGGCATTGGGAGGCACAGGTGGGGTGCACGTCTGCCAGTCATTTCTTGACAGTTTCCATATAACACCTTGGTCTATCTTGTGACCTTTTTCCAGTGAGCCTTCCATACTTCATGTCACCTCACGGTGCACCTAGCCTAATAAGCGCTGTGAAGTCACCGCCACTTAGTGGCGAATGATTGTTGTTGTTGTTCTGCTTGTGAGCTGCTTATTTAGCTCGCCTTGTACGGGGAGAGGTGCGTGTCCACGGGGAAGGCGAGCATCCCCATCACCTGCTTCACCTCTTCCAGCTGCGACCCCTCCGCTGTGCTGAAGTGCTTCCTCGCGTGGCTACAAGCGCGACACAAACACCGACATGTTAACCACATACGGCAACACATCTACACGCAAACCAGGCACTTACTCACGTTGGACACAAGAGGTGCCCCACAATAAAATAAAAGCCCACGATTGTTTGTTGCAGTAGATTGAGCTATTATTTAGTGCATGGACTACTTTGTCTGTGCACGACTGTGTATGTACACTAATATATGTAAACGAATGTGTATGCATACTATTGTGTGTGTATGCACTCCTATGTGGTAACTACTGTGTTCATGTGCACACTACTATGTCTGTACTTGCGTGCATATGTGCACACTCCTGTGTATGTGTGTACGACTGTGTGCCCATATGCTGTTGGTAGTCCACATACCGGACCGCTTCCAGCCTCCGGTTGTGCCGGATGAGCTCGATGAACTCCTGAATTCGCAGGCTGAACTCCAGGCAGCTCTGGCTCCCCGGGGGGGCCGGTGCGCATCGCCCGTGTCCCGACACCAACACATGGGGAACACCGCAGTGCAGGCGAGGCATGAAACTAGCAGCTAACACTGAGATCCTCATCCACGCCTTCATCACATCCCAAATTGACTACTGCAACTCTCTCTTATTTATCTCCCATATCCTTCATTTCCAAATTCCAGAGATCCAAAATACTGTTCCCAGGCTTCCAACCCACACCTGTGAATAAGACCTCACATCACCCCAATGCTTCAATTCCTCCACTGGCGCTCAATACAATTTCGGATAAATTTTAAGATCGCAATCATCGCATTCAATGTAATCCATTGACTTGCCCTTACCCGTCTATCTCGTAATTTAATTATAAACCCCTTCACGGACTCTTTCCTCCAGCAAGCAAGGCTTGATTAAAAAATCCCATATTAACCTTCGCCCATTGGGAGGTTTGCTCATTCTTCTCTGCCCATTGGGAGGTTGCTCATTCTTCTCTGCTATCCACGGTGTCAACTCCCAGCCCCTGTTCATTTCAGACTCAGGACCTTACTTTTTTCCTCTGCCTATGACCGAATGCCATTCGGTTTTTATATA